GCTGTCGAGCGTCTTGCATCACAAGGCCAAGATCGAGGTGCTGTTCGATGTTGGTACCACGCCACATTTCCCAGTGGTGCTCACGGTCAGGGCTCGTGCTGCAGGCGAGCTCAAACATCTCGTGGCCAAGGTGCCGAAGAGGTTGCCCCTCGATGTGCCCGTGGGGCGTCGTGCACGTGATCCAGAGCAGCTCTGGCACCATGATGATGGTCAGCGTGACGGGCTTTCCCTCGACGCAGTGTGGCGCCTCTGGCTGGACTTCGCCTAACGAGACTGGGCGGACGTGTACTGCCTCGATGCCGCGGCGGACTGCGAGTACTTCGGTGGATCTGAGGGCCCGAGTTTTCACGTCTGCGAGCCCTCCGCTCCCAGGGGCCGGGCGTTTCCTCGGTTGTCTCCACGGGCACTCTGGCGTCTCCTCGCCAGATGTTTTGATGGTCTTGGGGCCTGGCAACCGGGGCCTCTCCGCTCGGGCACTCTGAAGCTGGCTCGCGCTCTACCTCGCTTGGTATCTCGTGCCAAGGTTGACGTATCTAAGTCTGAGCCATGGGTGCATTTATTCTGGTTTGCCCAGCTTATGCCATACTCGCTCGCCTCTGCGCGAGCGAAGGTTGCGCGCAAGCAAGCGGCGCGCGAGCATAGGGCGGCCGAGAAGGCCAAGTATCGCGATTGGAAGGAGTGGGTGCGCATGCATTCGCTCAATGGAGGTGCGGCTCTCCATGCATGCAGCAAGCCCCACAGACCCCTGGCACACTAGCAGTCTGTCCCCCACCAGGAGCGCCCGCCACCCTGCACGGGGAGGTTCGGCTTTTGGAGGAGGAGTGGGCTGGGTGGTGGAAGGCGGGCGCCCTGGAGGATGAGACTCTATGGCCTGATTTGGGACCAGAGTTTCCCAGGCCATGCCCGGGCGAGCTCGAGGCCTGTTTAAGATCCTCCCCAAGGCGTTCGGGGTGCGGCTTTGACCAGATGAGCCCCAGGCAATTGCTTGCGCTCTCGGACCAGGCCCTCGAGGCCGTTTTGAATATCATGGTCGAGGTCGAGCGTCTGTGTTCTTGGCCCACCATCTGGATCAACATCGTTGTTTCTGGCCTAGCGGGATGGGGGGCTCAGACCGACAGCTCTCGTCCATTTTTTGGCACGCGTGCAAGGCATAATTCGGAAGCCACTGGTCTCGCAATGGCAGGCTGCTCACCTGCGCCCGTGCTGGCGGGCAGAGTCGGGCGCAGCAGCGACAAGTTGGTTTGGGTCCAGGCTGCCGCGTCTGAGTGGGCGCGCGCTCGAGACATGCGCAGTGCGCTTGTGCTGCTTGACCTTCAGAAGGCTGTCGGGCGCATCTGCTTGACCTTCAGAAGGCTGTCGGGCGCATCAGGCGCAGCGAGTTGGTCGGGGCTGCGCCGGCTTCGGGGCCCCCGCTCCGCCAGTTCAAGCTTCTCGTCGAGCTCTACCGCCCTCCGAGGGTGTTGGGTTTGAATAAAGCTGCGTCTGACCCAGTCTGTGCGCTCCAGGCGGTCTTGCCTAGATGCCATTCTGCCATTCTTATGCTGCAGATGGTTTTATTAGGCCGCGTCGACAAGTTTGCAGATCTCTATGGGCTTGTCAGACTGGGGGTTGTAGTAGATGACTTCGGTTTTCACGAGGTCGGCCGAGAGGATGATGGCGTCGACCACCTTTCGGCCGCCGAGCGTTTGTTGCGCCGGGCACTTGGGGCCGCCCATCTCCCCGTCGCCCGCGGTAAGTCGAAGGTCGCTGGGTCGCCCTATCGAGTTCGGGCCTCCCTGGTGCGCAAGCTTGTTCGGTTTAAGGTCCAGGGCGCGAGCCACGAGCGCAACCGAGGCATCGATTTTGCCGCTGAGCAAGTTATACATCATGCCACGCGTCGCGAGCGCAGGAGTCCAGCGCGCGCTCGGGCTCGAACGTGTGTGAGATTTGGCAAACATGTGGTCACGCGCAGGATTCATAACATGACGCAGGCTGCTGTCTTAGCCTCCACGAAATATGGTGACACCGTGCACGGCAGCAATGCAGCGGTCTTGCGAGAGGCTCGGTCTTGGCAAGCACGCGTGCAGGGTAATCGACTCGCTGGAAAAAATGCAACGTTGTTCCTCGCTTTGTCCGATAAGCCGCTTTGCGATCCAGCGTATCAGTCGAAGTTGGATCCTCTCTTGGCTCATGCCACCGCTGTTTGGCATGAGCTTCTGCCCAGGCGCGCTGTAGAGCGGGGTCTTCAAGATGCCTGGAGCTCTGTCAGGGGCCATGGGAACCCGTGAGCTGCCATTCGGAGCCCGATTTCGGCCTGCGCGGCCACGGCGAAGCGCCTTAGTTTCTCCATGGGCGGATTTGTTTGGGCGCGTCCCAAGGTCGGCCGGATCTGCGTGTGTGAGCAGAGTCCCCATGCTGCCCGTGCCTGGCTTGTTAGAGTCAATTGCTCATGGGCCAAAGCTGCTGAGCGCGAGGATGTTCCTGAGCTTGCGGATGGACGCAGCATTGGTCCAATCCTTTCGCTACTGCACTCCAATAACATCACGCCTCAAGAAAACAGGGCATCTTTGCTCCGTGTTCGCAGGGGGACAGCGGCCGCAGCATCGCCAATGGGAGCGCAGGCTTGCACATGATCCCGCGTGTTTGGCGTGCGAAGCTTCCCCTGGCACTCTTCTGCATCGGCACTGCGTTTGTGGCAGACATGGTGATTTTGTTTGCCACATGTGGAGCCTCCTGCTTTCTAGGGAAGTTCGTTCCAGGCCTCCGCCTCGCCTCTCCCCCGTCTGCTTGCTGAGAGGCTCGTCTGCCCTGCTGTTGTTCCTCCTCCCCCCATCGTGCCCCCGTCCAGGTGGTTCTCAGGAGGGCCCGCCGAGATGGGGGGATGGCTTGTTTTGTCCTCGACGGGTCCTTGATGGACCAAGAACTCCCAAGGCCGCCCCAAGCTCTCGCCTGGGCTTTAGTTGCGGTGCAACCTGCGTATCCTTTCAGGGCTTTCTCGGTGTTCTGTGGCGCGCTCGCGATGACAGGTGCCTGCGTAGATGCGGCAGAGCTATTCGCCTATTCGCCCTGCTGCGCGGTCTGCAGCATTGCATCCCTGGCACGATCATGCGCACTGACAGTCAGTTCGCGCACGATGGGCTGCATGTGCGTGAACGCGCGTTTTGTTGCAGCAGCGGCAGCGCGTGGGCTGAGATTTGGATTCGGGTCTGGCTTCAAGTTGAAGAATGGGGGGGGGCTTGAGCACGTGCGCGTGCGCAAAGTTAGGGCGCACTGCACGCGCGCGGCCCTCCAGCGAGGGCTGATCCCCCCCCTCGAGTTTGAAGGCAATCAGCTCGCCGATGAGTGGGCTCGTTGGCAGGCTGACAGGTCTCGCGTGCCTCCCGATGTACGCCAGGCGCATAAGGCCAAGGCTAAGGTGTTATCCTGTCTCGCCTTGTGGGTCGCCAAGATCGGGCCCTGCATGTCCGACTGCGACGCGCGCCGTGCCTCCGAAAAGGACTGCACGGCGCGTGCCCTTGGACCATGCGCGCCGCCTCTGCCGCCGCTTGCCGTCGCGCCGCCTCTGCTATCGCGAGCCGACCTGGCGCGTGCTCGGACGGCGCTGGCGCCAGGCAGGCAGCACGTTGTCCATCCGTTCCAGGTCGGGGGGGAGGCGGGGCGGACGTGGTGTGTCGTGTGTGTTGCGTGTGGGTGTGGGGGGACGCAGATCTCGGCCTCGCTCTCGACCTGTTGTGCGGGACCGCCGCCGCCCGCGTCCTGGGGAGCGAGGGATTTGTCGAATCTGGCTCGTGCACCCGCACGTTTCTCCGTGAATAAGGTGCGGCGGACTTTTGCCCAGCCAATCCGTTCAGGGCTGCTGAGTCGCGCTGGAGAGTCGGCCCCGTCCAAGATTCTTTGGTTTTCTGCGTGTTCAGTTCTTGTGGTGAACGGAAGATGGGGGGCCCACCCAGCTCTTAGGTGGTCGCTGCAAGGCATTGTAGCGCCAGGCTGAGCCGAGGAGGAGGAGGAGGAGGAGGAGGAGGAGGAGGAGGAGGAGGAGGAGGAGGAGGGGGAGGGGAGAGAGGAGGAGGAGGAAAAGGGGGGAGGAGGAGGAGGAGGAGGAGGAGGAGGAGGAGGAGGAGGAGGAGGAGGAGGAGGAGGAGGAGGAGGTGGAGGAGGAGAGAGGAGGAGGAGGAGGAGGAGGAGGAGGAGGAGGAGGAAGAGGGAGGGGAGGAGGAGGAGGAGGAGGGAGGAGGAGGAGGAGGGGAGGAGAGGAGGAGGAGGAGAGGAGGAGAGGAGGAGGGAGGAGGAGGAGGAGGAGGAGGAGAGGAGGAGGCGGCGGAGCGAGGAGGAGGAGGAGGGGAGGAGGAGGAGGAGGAGGAAGAGGAGAGGAGGAGGAGGAGGAGAGGAGGAGGCTTGAGCGCCGGCGAGCGAGGGAAGGAGGAGGAGGAGGAGGAGGAGGAGGAGGAGGAGGAGGAGGAGGAGGAGGGGAGGAGGGGAGGGGGAGGGGGAGGGGAGGAGGAGGAGGAGGGAGGGAGGAGGAGGAGGAGGGGAGGAGGAGGAGGAGGAGGAGGAGGAGGAGGAGGAGGAGGAGGAAGAGGAGGAGGAGGAGGAGGAGGAGGAGTGGCTAGGCGAGGTGGCCCAGGCCCCGTCGAGCCATGGGAGAGACACGGCGCGAGGTGCTTCGTTATGGTCGGCCTTTGGGGGGCCCTTGATGGGCCTCGGGGCCGTCAAAGAACGACTCGAGATGAACAAAAAGTCGGGGGCAACGGGTCGAGGTCTCCTTGGGGATCGACGTCATGCAAAAGCATGACGTTAAGGGGCCTGGGGTGTGTGGATATCATGGCCGGGGCATTGGAGTCGATTGGCGTCGGTTCGCAAGAACCAGCACGGTGGTGGTATGGGAGGCTCTCATGAGTTGCCGCAGAATTGTCCTTCGTTTCTTGCGTTCCTTGGTACCCCCCTCGTCCGCGCACGCGCCTCGGGCCATGATTTGCGAAACCCCTTTTTGCGCGCCCCCCTCGCGGGCGCCCCCGAATGAGGTCGAGGCGGAGTGCCTGGCCTTCTTCTCGATCGGCTACAAGGCGGCGCGGGAAGGACCCCAACGGGCCGTCCGGGCGGGCGGACCCTGACGGACGGGCCGGGCGGGCGGATCCAGCGGGCGGACGGGCGGTAGCGGCGGTCAGGCGGGCGGAAACCCACAGATCCGATGTAGTGTTTTTTTCGATGCGTGGTCCCCGGAAGTCTCGACCCATTCCCCAGGACCGGCTTCTCATCCTGAGTCGTTTCTTTCACGGTCCTGGGGGACGGTGAGGGCCCCCAGAGGCCGAAAACTGCTACAAACTTCTGTACTGAGTTCTTCCATGCGTTGGATCTCTGGAAAGGCGTCCGAGAACGGGAACGACGGTACCCTGCCGAGCGGGTCCGGCGAGCGCGCCGCAGAAGCGGGCGCGTCGGGGTCGGGGCCGGGCGGGCCCTGACCGGCGCGTCGGCTGGGCGAGCGGGCCCAGGGTGGCGGGTCGGCCGAGCGGTCCTGCGCGGCGGAGCCGCACAGACATCATCGGTCGAAGTTCCGCGCGGATTCCTTTGGATCGGCGCTGGGCTTATGATGTTCCAACCTATTCGAGCGTTGATCACCAGAAAGAGTTCCGAGCACCAGAAACTCGAGGGTTTTCACGTGTCGGGCCCTGGGAGACACTCGTCCGACACTGTTTCGCCACTCGTTCAACGCTTTTCAGGGTGCACGAGATTATTTTGTGGGATGTGGTCCCGCGGTGCGATGGGAGCAACATAACGCTGGGCCACCCCATGGCGGCGTCTGCGGCGCCGCCCCTGGCGCGCTCCGCGCGCCAGGGCGGGGGGATCCACCGCCGCTCCAAGACATCCGCGCGGAGCTCCGAACGTGCAGGCGTATGCATTATGCAGTAGGGCCGAGTGTGCCAGGTAGCCCCAGGGGGGGAGGAATCTGTTGGATTGAGATGCAGCGAGAGGAGGAAAAACCACCCGGACCCGACAATTGGCGCTTACTGAACGGCCCTCTGAGTGTACTCAGCAGCCCTGCCCTGTTCGATTCCCTCCTCGGGTCCGTTTACTAAACGGCTTCGCGTGTCGGGGTGATTATGATGCGGGTGGTTTCTACCATCTTTGCAAAGCCGATGGAGCATGTGGCCTGTCTCGAAGACGACCAAAAAACGGCAGAAACATGAACTATCGGCGCTCCGCGCGGATTTCTTCGATCTGCGCTGGGCCCCCCCTGGCGGCGCCTCCGGCGCCGCCCCTGGCGCGCTCCGCGCGCCAGGGAGGGCGGTCCAGCGCAGATCCAAGAAATCCGCGAGCGCCGAAAGTTTATGTTTATTCCTTTGTTGTTCCTCTACTGTCAGCTAAAGAGGCGCGCAACTGGGCATAATATTCCATGGCGGCGTGAGATATTCGGCTACGTGCGCCAAGACAGCCAGGATCGCTGCACATGAGGGCTCGCGCACAACATGGCAGGATGTGTCGAGGGCGAGGGCGAGACGAGCGGTGGGTGGCGAGGGAGGAGTGAGGCAGGTGCAGATGTCATGCGTCAAGGGTTTCCGCGGTTCAGTCCGTTCGCCTGCTTTGCAATCGGTTGCGCTCGGTCGGTTCTGCTCGGTCGGTCGTTCGTTTGTTGTGTAGTTGCCGCTTCGCTGCGTCCTTCTCGGCTGCTTTTGGCTGATGCGGTTTCGGGCGGTGTCGATTCTGCTGTCGGTTCGGTCGGGTTTGGGCTGTGCTGTCGCCGTGGGGGGCCTTGGGAAAGCGAGAATATCGGTGAGAACGAGGAGGAAGGCAGATGCGGATGCCATGCGTGGAGCAGATGCGGGCAAGCCAGCCTTACGAGACATCGAGAAACGTAAGAACCTAACTACGTTTTTGACTTGCGGTGCTATGTCCCAGCGGGTTTTCGAAATCGTTAGTGCTGAGCCAATCGAGTAATCGTGTCCAGGGGTCAGTGATGCGCCACACGTGTGATTGGAACGTTGCACGGTCCTGGGACTTGGAGGAAGAAGTCGAGGGCGTTGTTCATCTTCCTCCTTCCACTCGTCCGCCCGCTTCCGTTGGACGTGTGAACTTTGTTTCTCGTGTCCCTCTCTCGTTCTCTATTTCGTTCTCGCTCTCTCTCTCTCTCTCGTTCTCTTAATGTCTGCTGGCAGCGGCAGCGCGGGCACGCACTCGATTCCACTATTTGCTTGGGGCGGGTGATGCAGATGACGAGAAGGGGAGCCATATCCCCATGACAAACCAGAGAACACTTCATAAGCGATAGCTGTAATTATGAGATGGTGCACGGGGACAGCAATGACTGTGTGGAGCGCTCGACCAAACTACTCGTCCAAACAAGTCGCAAGGAGGGGCACACACATGCATGTATGCATACATGCACATACATGCGCATGTTGGCACATGTACAATATATGTATATATATACATGTATATATACGTATATATATATGTGTGTGTGTCAAACTCGCCCCCCCCCACCCACACACACACACACACACACACACAGACAGACAGACAGACAGACAGACAGACAGACAGACAGACAGACAGACAGACAGACAGACAGACAGACAGACAGACACACACACAGACACTCACACGCACACGCACACGCACACGCACACGCACACGCGCACACACACACACACACGCACACGCACACGCACACAGACACACAGACACACACACACATACACACAACACCCAGCACTACAGTTGTATGGCAACGAGGCTCCTCAGCCTACTCCTTGTATTTCTCGTCCTCGTCTCACTCTGGGCTCTCATCATACTCATCTGCAGCCTTCCCGTCGTCCCACGATGGCCTGCGGCGCAATGCTCCAGGGGCGTAACGCTCCAGGCCACTCGGTGGCGACATGCTCAAGGCCGTCGTAAGAGATGTAGTGGGGGTGGTACTGTTGGCTGCATTGCGAACTTTGATAACGTCTGCAGTGTACTAGTAAGAGTTGTACTACTTGCTGCAGTAGCCGCTGCAGAAGGATCTGTAGCAAGAGGCGCATTGAGATCCAGACTTCTGGTAACATTGCGACTTGTAAGAACAGCTGCACCATGCTATGCATTCGGAGCTGCATTAGGAGTTGTAGTAAAGCATATGGTGAATGTACGGCTGGCTGTGTTAGGACCCCTAGTAAGATCTATAGTGGTAGCTGTAGCAAAAGGAGTTGTATTTGATAAGCGCAGTCAGCAGTTGTACGACGTTTGAAACAAAACATGCTTTACTGGGACTGCGCGAATGGCTGTAGTCGGAGCTGCATTACGGCTTGTTAGAGGAGCTGTAGCAGGGAGCAGTAGTAAGAGTTGTTGTGCGATCCCGTTGTGCGCACTTGTTGTGCTATCTGTGACATGACTGGCAGTGCGAGCTGTGATATTGGCTGCATGGCACTGTGGTGGGACTTGCATTGAGATATGCACGATATGTTGTTGTTGGAGCTGTAGTGGGAGCTATATAAAAGTGCCCGCAAGAGGAAGCACATCCATGGTGGCCACGGTACGGCACTGTCCTGTCCGGTCTGGTATCAGGAGCACGCGGTATTTGGTGCGGTTAGACTGGATGCGGCCGCGTACTATCGCCCGTGCACGGTGCCGAGACTGCGCAGTCTCTGGGACCACGGCCAGTATCAGAAAGGCAGCGCGACCACGTCCTGGCCTGTCTCGTCGTCAGGAAAACCCTCGAGCTACCCAGAAGCTTCGTAGGACACATGACACCTCTCGAGGAGAGAAGGATGCAGGGACGCTGGGAAAGAGGCCAGAGGGCCCAGGTCTCCTCGCACGGTCGCCTTTCGGGCGGTCGCCGTGGGGGTTCGCCACCAGGAGGTCGCCACAGGGGTGGTCGTCACCGAGGGTCGCCACTGGGGGGGTCGCAGCGAGGGGGGGGGCCGCCACGTGAAGGGTCCCGTCGCCACGGGGTTGGCGCCACGGCGGAGGCCGCCACGCAGGGAGGATCGCCACGGGGGCGGTCGCAACGGAGGAGGGCGCCACGGGGAGTCTCGCCAGGGGGGGGGGTCGCCACGGGGGGGCGGCGGGGGGGCGCCGTCGAGCAGATCCCCACGGAGGGGTCGCCAGCGGGGGGTCGCCACGGAGGAGGTAGCCACCGGGGGCCACGGGGCGGGGCGCCACAGGGCGGGTCTCCGAGCGGCCCCCAGGGGGGCACTGCAAATCATCTCTGCAGACTTCCGCCAGGGGGAGTTTGGCCAGGGGCTCAGTGGGAGGACCCCTCTTGGGGCCCCCATTAGGGCTCTTTGGGGGCATTCCTGGCGCCCTACGGAGCCGTCCTGGGGTTACGAGTGACTCCTCAGGGGGCACGAGAAGTTATCGCTTCCAACTCGGCCAGGCGGAGTTGGACCAGGAGCTCAGTGGAACCCGTCTTGGAGCCCCCACTGCGGTCCCGCGAGAGCTCTCCTGGAGCCCTCCAGGTCCGCACTGAGGGCTCCGGTGCCGTTTGGGGGGCTCGATTTTGGGGGCTCGAGCGGCCTCCCGACACGGGCATTCAGAGGGCCCCCGTGCATGCTGCGGTCAAGGAGCCTTGTGGACCCGTCTTGAGCAGGCGGTGCACCTGGCTGGGACCACAGTCGCATCCTACTCACGAGGTGGGCGGCGGTGAGGTCGCACCGCGGAAATCACGGTAATGGCCTTGGGGTTCCATAGCATGCAGTTGTTAGTGTTGGTGTTTTTGTCGCGTGCGCCACGAAGTTTACTCTGCGATTGGTTTCGCGTTTCTTCGCGTCGCGAGATGATGTGGTGAATGTCGTCGTTTGCTGTAACCCTGGCAAGCAAACAGTAACCCCCCCGGCGATATCGCTAGCCCCCCAAAAAAATAAATAATTATTTTGGGCGGCGCCCTCCGGCGATATCGTTAGCACCCTTTTTTTTTTTCTTTTTTTTATTTTTTTATTTTTTTTTTTTATTTTGCTATTTTTTTTGTTAAATTATTTTTTTTTTTTATTTTTTTCTTTCTTTTTTATTATTTTTTTTTTTTTTTATTTTTTTTTTTTTCTTTAATGTTTTTTTTTTTTTATTTTTTTTTTTTATTTTTTTTTTTTTTTTTTTTTTTTTTTATTTTTTTGTTTTTTTTTTTTTTTTTTTTTTTTTTTTTTTTTTTTTTTTTTTTTTTTTTATTTATTTATGTTTTTTTTTTTAATTTTTTTTTTTTTTTTTTTTTTTTTTTTTTTTTTTTTTTTTTTTTTTTTTTTTTTTTTATTTTTTTTTCTTTTTTTTTTTTTTTTTTTTTTAAATTTAAAACAAATAAATAATTAATTAATTTGCCCCCCCCGGGCCCGAAGCTGGCGGCAACGCGAGGCGACAGCCTGAAGAACCAACGCGCACGAACGCTTGCCAATGGGTTCCCGCCTTGCTAGAACACTGGGAAACTGACGCGCATCGGAAATCAAAGGTATATCAAAAATGACAAACAATGAAATCACCGCAAGTAACTATACTTGAAAGGACCACCCAAAGGAATCCCAGAGAAATATCAGAAGGAGGCCCACGCAGAATTTCAAAGGATCGCTATTGGAAATTCAAAATAATCTCAAAAAGGAACCCCACAGAAATCGCAAAGGGATCTCAGCGGCAGCTCAAACGAACCACGAAGGAATCTAAGGAATCTGGAAAACGCGGGCTCGCGTGGACATAAGCAAACCCTATTGCGGCCGCAATAAGGAAATTGTTTTTCACGGGGTCCTATGGGAGAGTCCACGGAGGGATATCGCAGACGGATTCCGCGACCCCCCCCGCGATATGTTAGCACATTTATTGAAAATAAAACAATCCACAGGCGCCGGAGGTCGATGGGATGCTCCCTTCAGGGATTGTCGAAGGAATGTCAGAGGAACTCGAAAGAACCCCCAAAAGAATCCCATAATAATATCACAAGAAATCACACGCATGATATCGAAGGAACCAATGGAAGTTCAAAGCAATCTCAAAGGAGCCCAACAGACATCGCAAAGGCATCTCAGCGGCAGCTCAAACGAACCACAAAGGAATCTAAGGAATTTGGAAAACGCGGGCTCGCGTGGACATAAGCAATCCCTATTGCGACCGCACTAGGGAATTCTTTCAGGGGATCCTATGGGAGAGTCCACGGAGAGATTTCGCAGACGCATTCCGCGAACCCCCCCGCGATATGTTAGCACATGCATTAAAAATAAAATAATCCACCGGCCCCGGATGTCGATGTGATGCTCTCTTAAGCAATGGGGTATCAAACGGATATGACCGGAGCCTCAAGGGACCCCCAGAAACAACATCAAAGGAACACCAGAGGAGTCTCAAAGGAGTCCCAAAATAATCACAATGGAAACGGCAAGGAATCTCAAAAGAAGCCAATCGGAGTATCAGAGGAATCTCTGAGGAATCTCACAGAAACGCACAGAATCACCGGAAGCGACTCTGGGCAGGTGTGCCTTGTCGCTGGGCTCTGGACTACAAGGGGACCGGGCATTCAGATGCTTGTGGAGGCCTTTCTGGATGTCTCCTGGGAACCTCCGGGGACCTCCCCTCCGCGGACCTCTGGTGACCTGCGGGGGATATCGCTTCCGCCCCGGCCCCGGTGCCGGAAGCGTTATAATTTCCTCTGATGAAGGGGGGGGGGGGGAGGGGGGGGTTTACTGATTGCTTCCCAGGGTTATGCATCAGGTTTGTTTCGTCATGTTTGATCTCCGGATCCCCCTGCAGGGGGTATGCGAGCGACGTCGATGTGTATGATTTCTTGCACCCTGTGCTGTGGCTGGAGATCTCGTGTGAGCTGGAATGGAAACTGTGCCACCGTTGTCGCAGGATCCATAGTAGGACTTGTCGTCAGAGTTGCTGCAAGAATCGTGGTACCTTCAGTTTATGCTGCGCTGGATTTGCACCATGAGCTGAGCTGGGGAATGTAAGAACAGACTCAAGCCTAATTGTCGTAGAAGCTGTGGTAAGAGTTGTTATGGGAGGCGTACTAGTTGCTGACGTAGGATGTGCTGAAGGATCTGCAGTAGAAACTGTTGTAGGAACTAGTGTGAGAAGCTGCGGTACGTGGTGTAGTGAGGGCTGTACTGTCGGCTGCAGGACGAACTTGAGTGTGAGGTTTAGTGGGGGATGTATTACCGGCTGTAGTAGACGATATAGTCGGAGCTGTAGTCAGAGTTGAGAGAGGAAATGTTTCAGGAGTCGTGGTGAAAGTTGTGCGATTGATTGCAAGCGGACTTGTAGGGAGAGTTGTAGTGGAAATTGTGGAAGAATTGCAACAGACGTTGCAGCAGGACATGCATCAATACTTGCAGTAGGAGCTACAGCGAGAGCTGTGAGTGCTGTCTCGCTGGCTGCAACATGGGCTGCTGTAGGAGTTGTGCTGAGAGCTGCAGTGCGAGCTGCACTGACAACCGATCTATTACTTTGTATTAAGGCATAATACTACTTTGTAGTAAGGTCCAGGTCAATCACTTTGTAGTAAGGCCAAGGTCCAGGGTGCACCCCCATCGTGGTGCTCTTGTCACGCGCCGCGTTGACGTGGCGGCGACCCCGGCGCGTGCGTTCTAGGTTGAGCTCCGCCAGTGACCAAGAATAGATCAATAGCTGACGATCTGCGCCATCGGATGTGATCGTCCAGTGTCGCACGACCTGCGCTGTGTCATAAGCCCGCTCCGAGGTCGTCGCGATTCGCGGCATGAAACCGCCCTACATCCTCACTGGTGGCTCTGTCCTGGAGGGGAGCAGCGTGAAATATGTGTTTTCCCAGGCGCCAGTGCAGCAGGTGCGACAGGCTGCTGTTGCTGTGCTGGCCTGTGGCGCTGCAGCCGCCGTCTTCAACGCGTTCGTGGTGCAGTCCCGAGCTCGGGGGCCTGGCACGAGAGGCTCCAGTCCACCTCGTCCCCTGGTCTCGTCGTTGTTCTTACTTTCGGCCTCTGGAGGCCCTCACCGGGCCCCGGGAACGTCGACAAACTCCGGGCGAAGAGCCGGCTCCGGGGAATGGGACAAGAAATCCAGGGGCTCATGTCACAGAAGAAATGTGACGTCGGATGCGAGCGTTTTCCTCCGCGTCTTGGGGACGGTCAGGCTGTTGAACACCCCATCTCTGAGGCTCGACGCAGGAGGAGAAGGCATGCGGCCCAAGGTTCGTAGAACTTGCGTGAGCGTGGACGTTGTGGGGAGGTCCACCCTCATGGAGGATAAGAGAACCCCTAATCCTGATAAAATGATGAAGACATAGCCTCACTGAGGCCCCCGTCTTTGCATTGAGGATAGTCGATCTGGGCGGTCTGGATCTGTACATCTGCAGAAAAGACCCCCTATCCCTTTTGTTTTGGGCCCTCCTGACTTAGGTCCCCTCCCAAAGGGTCAGGGGTCCTGCTATTGTTACAGTCAACCCGCATAGTAAGGATGGGCGACCTTCCCAAGGGTACCCTTGCATCCTTGCCTCCTCGGCCATCCTTGGCCACTTTCGTTGGCCGCGCCACGCGCGAGAAGCTTCGAAACGGCCCTCCAAGGCCCTTGCATCCTTATCGCGCATCCTTATGTTGATTGCGATTGCGAGTAGCGCTAAGTGTCAAGATTTCTTTTCACTGGCAGGCAACTTCAAACATCGTGAAACGGCCCTCCATGCTGCCTTCTTTTTGTAACCAAGCAACCTGTGATGCGGGTCGGCCGTAGTCACGCCCTTCCCCCCTGGCTTGCAGCCGCAGGCCCCCTTGTTGTTGCTGCGTCGCGTGCCGCGCCGCCGGGTGTGGCCCGCCTCGCTTCGCGGCGACGCGCTGACTGCTTCCCTGCCCCCAACAGAAAAACTGAACAAAAAGCAATAGCGAAAAACACATAAAGCGAAAACAAGCAACAACAACACTTCCCAGTTTCCCCAAGTGTCAACGCTGCGAGCTTTTCCCAGCCGTCCCAGAGCGGAGCGCCATCCGCTTGCAGGGCACAGCATGTCGCTGGGGCCGCCCCCGCGAGCAAAAGTTCTCGACAGTAGTGTCTGGTCTAGGGCGGGCGGGGTCCATGGTGGCAGTCCGCTTGCCGTCCTCCTGACCGGGCTCCCGACGGGCACACAGCTGGGCTACCACTGCATACAGTCAGGACGCGGAAGTAAGGAGCTCAGGAGTGGCTTTGGTTTTCGGGCCTTCTGATTGTAGGCCAATCGGCAGGGTATTCCGAGCCCTCCGTGGGAATTGTTGCCTAGGCGGGCCCCCCCATGGTCTTTCGGATCAGCATAATGGCAGAAAAACGTGTGGCTCGCTCTTCGAACCGCTCAGACATCAGGGAAAAGTCCAGGCGAAGCTTGGTCGGACCGTATCCACATCCTTCGCAGCCTGGCCGGACGCGATAATCGCAGAGGTTGGCGGGTTTTCTCTGTTTGGGAGGTTTAAGCAGGAGATGAATCCTTCCAGAGTGTTCGAAGTGCGCTCGGATCGTTCTTGCACGCCTTGAAACGGCCGCGGCGCCCGAGGCGTCCTCCGGACCCGGCGGTTCTCACAGATCCCGCATCATCTCTGCCGGCCCGAGGTCTTTTACTTGCCGTCGTGTGATTCTTCGCAAGGTCGCACCCCGAGCGGGGGGGGGGAAATGAGAAGGAGAAGGCCATCTCAGAAGGCGGCGGGACTTCTCAGAAGCCCCTCGCGCCGTCCGACAAGGTTTCCGTGTCTTCGGGGAAGGCTTGCGAAACGTCTCAGAAGGTTGGGGGACTTCCGCGCCTTCTGAGAAGGCCCGCCCCTTCCCACTTCGCCCCCTGGCTCGCCGCCGACCCCGCCCCCCCTGGAACGCTGGAGGTCACGAGCGCACGCGAGCGCCGACGGCTACTCCCTCCTTGTCAAGCCCCCGAGCGCGGGCGCTCGACCAGCGGCGGCTGACCGAGGACCTCCTTTTGGGGAGGCCGCCGGAGGGTTTGGAGGCCAGCGCTGCCTGGGCGCACGCTTCCTGGATGCACTCGGGAGAGCTCTGGAGGCCCCTGCTGGGGGGATCTCTCCTCAGAGCAGCCGGGTTCCTGAAGGTTTCCCTGGGCACCTCTGGGCTTCCCAGAGCACCCTGGACGCTCTGCCATCCCTCCAGGCTCTTGCGGTGCAACCCTTTGCGACCTTGGAGGAGGGAGGGGAGGAGGAGGAGGAGCAGGAGAAGGATGAGGACCAGTGTAAACCCAAGAGTCATCAGCGATGTTTGAATAAACCCTCCCTCCAAGCTCCCTCTTCGCAGGCTCGTGCCACGGTTTATTTCCATTGATGGAAATTCCTCGTTGAAGACAACCGTTTTAAGAGCCTGAAGCGTGCCAAAACATGATTCTCGGGACTCCAACTCCACGGATCAACCTGACAGTAGCGTTTTGACGATCTTGAACCTTGCCAGAACGCCATTCCTGGGACATCAACACCGCGAATCAACGCAACTGATGCACCCTTACAAGACATAAGAGGAGGAGGAGGAGGAGGAGGAGGAGGAGGAGGAGGAGGAGGAGGAGGAGGAGAAGGGGGAGGAGGCGGAGGAGGAGGAGGATGAGGAGGAGGAGGGGGAGGAGGAGAAGGGGGGGAGGAGGAGGAGGAGGAATATGAGGAGGAGGAGGAGGAGGAGGAGGAGAAGGAGGAGGAGGAGCAGGAGGAGGAGGAGAAGGAGGAGGAAAGCGAAGGGGAGGAGGAGGAGGAGGAGGAGAAGGAGGAGGAGGACCAGTGTAAAGTAAGACTCGTCAACAATGTTGGAGTACACCCCCTACCTCTAGGCTCCCTCCTCATAGGAGCCTACAAGGATGCAGCTCCACTGAGGAAGTGCCCCGTTGGGGGACAAATGTGCGAGATTCCTGAAGCGTGCCCAAACACGAGGCAACCTGATTGTTGCGTCTGGGTGATCCTGAATCGCGCCAGAACGCCATTCGTTGGACTTCAACACCGCGAATCAAAGTAACTGTTGCGCCCAGACAATTCTGAACATTTGCAAAACACAGATTCTTGTATGTTCACCAAGAGAACCACTGAAACTCTTGCGCATGTTGGAAACGAATAAACGAGGCTTTAAGGCAAGAGCCTCATTTTCAGAAGGAACCGCCCTCCATCCGTGAAGCTCTGGCAAGTGTTCACAACGAATATGCGCGGCACTCCGGCGAGCGTCACATTATGAAAACGACGTGCCTTCAATCCGTGACGCTCTCGCCAATATCTGAAACCACTGTGCGCGGTGCTAAGGTGAGAGCCTTTTTTGAAGCGGCCCGCCCTCAATTCCTGAAGCTCTCGGGAATGTTCAAGACGAGTGTGCGCGGCGCTCCAGCGAGAGCCACATTCAAAATGTGGCACTCGCTGTTGCAAAACGTGACATTTTGCAAACGACCTGCCTTCAATCCGTGAAGCCTTTACAAATTTTTGAAACGAATGTGTGCGGTGCTAAGGCGGGAGCCAACTTTTTCAGGCGGTCCGCCCTCCATCTGTGAAATTGTTGCCAGCTTGAAGCTTGAGGCTCGTAAATGGTGCAAAATCCTCCAGCGAAATGCCTGGCCCGCTCTTCCGACCAGCCTGGGTGTGTGACAGAGTGAAATTATCGAGAAGGAAAAATGGAGGAGGAGAAGGAGGAGGAGGAGGAGGAGGAGGAGGAAGGGGATGATGATGCTGATGATGCTGATGCTGATGCTGATGCTTGTGCTAATGATGATGCTGATGATGGCGATGGTGATGATGCTGATGATGCTGAATATGATGAGTATGATGCTAATGATGTCGATGCTGCTGATGATGATGATGATGATGACGGTGTTGATGATGATGATAATGATGATGATGATGATGATGATGATGATGATGTTGATGATGCTGATAATGTTTCTGCTTATGATGCTGATACTGATGATGGTGCTGCTGATAAGGATGTTGATACTGATGACGCTGCTGCTGATGCCAATGCAGATGTTGCTGATGATGCTGGTGACGGTGATGGTGATGACGATACTGTTGTTGCTATGCTGGTAAAGATGATGACGAGGACTAGAAGGAAGATGAGGAGGAAGAGGAGGAGGAGGGGGTGAGAGGAGAGAAGATAGAGGAGAGAGGAGAGGAGAGAGGAGAGATGAACGGGGAGAGAGGAGAGAGGCGAATAAGAGAGGAGAGAGGAGGAGGCGGATGAGGAGGAGGAGGAGGACGAGAAGGAGGAAGAGGAGGAGGAGGAGGAGGAGTTGGAGAGAGGAGAGAGGAGAGGAGAGGGGAGAGGAGAGAGGAGAGGAGAGACGAGAGAGGAGAGAGGAGAGGAGGAGAGGAGAGATTAGAGAGAAAGCGGACGTGAGGAGGAGGAGCGGCGGAAACATGGGCGAGAAGAGGAGGAGGAGGAGGAGGAGGAGGAGGAGGAGGAGGAGGAGGAGGAGGAGAGAGGAGATATGAGAGAAGAGCTAGGAGAGAGGAGGGGGAGGAGAGAGGAGAGAGGCGAGAGGGGAGAGGGGAGAGGGGAGAAGAGAAAGAGCGATGAGATAGGAGGAGGAGGCGGAGGAGGATGAGGTTCATGACGAGGATGATGAGAAGAATGTGGAGGAGGGCGGGAAGGAAGAGGAGGAGGAGGATGTGGAGGGGGAGGAGGAGGAGGATTAGGAGGAGGAGGAGGAGAAGGATGGGGCGGACGAGGAGGAGGGGGGAGGAGGAAGGAGAGAGGAGGGAGATGGGGACGCGCGCGAGAGAGAGAGAGACCTATACATGTATTTATATGTGTATATATATGTATACATCTAATCATATAGCTAGACAGAGAAAGAGGGCGAGAACGAGGAAGTGGAGGAGGAGGCGGCGGCGGAGGCGGAGGAGGATGAGGATGCTGATGATGATGTTGATGGGTTGTTGATGGTGAGGAGGAATGGGAGGAGGGACAGATGAGGATGAAGAGGAGGCGGAGGAGGAGGATGAAGAGCAGGCGGGAGGAGGAGGAGGGGCGGGAGGAGGGGGAAAGAGGAGAGGAGAGGGGAGATGGGATAGGAGCGAGGAGAGGTGAGATGCTAGAGGCGATGTGATTGAGGATGCGGAGGAGCATGAGGAGGAGGAGGAGGCGACGAAGGAAGAGGAGGAGGAGCAGGAGGCGGAGGAGAGAGGCGAGATTAACGAGAGGATAGAGGCGAGCCGAGAGATGGGAGAGGAGAGAGCAGCGATGACAGCGACGAGAGGAGAGAGGAGAGAGGAGAGATGAGAGAGGAGGAGGAGGAGGAGGAGGAGGAGGAGGAGGAGGAGGAGGAGGCGGAGGAGGAGGAGGAGAGATGATCGTTGAGACACGGGGCCTATGACGAGAGGAGGGAGGACGAGAGGGGAGAGAGGAGAGAGGGGAGAGGGGAGCGGAGAAAGGCGAGAGGAGGGGGAAAGAGGAAGAAGGATGATGAGGCTGATGATGATGATGCTAGGTGATATCGGACGATGTTGATGAGGAGGAGGAGGAGGACAGGAGGAAGGAGGAGGAGGAGAAGGAGGAGGAGGAGGGGGAGGGGGGGAGGAAGAGGAGAGGGGGACACGGCACCGAACGAGGAGGAGAGGAGGGGTAGGAAAATGAGGCGGGAGGAGGGGGAGAGGAGGGAGATACCGAGATAGAGAGTTAACTAAGGGTCTATATGAACATTGCTAGCCACAGAGGGAGGGGGGAGAGAGCGAGAGAGAGAGAGAGAGAGCGATAGAGAGAGAACAAGAGAGAGCGAGAGAGGGAGAGAGAGAGATAGAGAGAGAGAGAGAGAGGGAGAGGGTGGGAGAGAGCGAGGAGGTGTGTTTGTGTTGTATGTGTGTGTGAGTGGGGCGGGGTGGGGCGCAGGAGGGAGGTGGAGGAGCAGGGCGAGGTGGAGGAGCAGGAGGAGGAGGAAGAGGAGGCGGCGCAGCAGGCGGAGACGGATTCGAGCAGGAGGAGCAGCAGAAGGAGCAGGAGGAGGAGGAGCAGCATGAGGAGCAGCAGCAGGAGGAGCAGCAGGAGGAGAGGAGAGAGGAGCACGCGCAGGAAGAGGAGGAGGAGGAGGACGAGGAGGAGGAGGAAGAGGGGGAGGAGGAAGAGGAGGAGGAGCAAGAGGGGGGGAGAAGGGCGACAGAAGGCGGAACGATAAGACACAAGCGGGGCTGGATATGCGCCAGGGCGGGGAGGATGACGGAGGACGCAGGAAGGAGGAGGAGGAGGAGGAGGAGGAGCAGGAGGAGGCGGAGGAGGAGGAGGAGAGAGGAGGAGAGATGAGAGAGGAGATATGAGAGAGGAGAGAGGAGGAGGCGCATGAGGAGGAGGAGGAGGAGGAGGAGCAAGAGAAGGAGGACGCGGAGAGAGGACAGAGAAGAGAGGCGAGAGGAGGAGGCGCAGGAGGAGGGGGAGGAGGACGAGGACGAGGATGCAGGAGGAAGAATATGCTGAGGAGGAGGATGATGATGAGGATGAGGAGGAGGCAGAGGAGGATGAGGAGGCTGGCCAGAGTCATGATAACACCAGGATGGAGGGGAAGGAAGGAGACGGCGGAGACACAAACCTTCAGGAGAGGAGGGGGGGAGAGGAGGAGGAGGAGGAGGAGGAGGAGGAGGAGGAGGACAGAGGAGAGAGGAGAGAGGAGAGCGGAGAGAGGGCATAGGAGAGATGAGAGAGGGGAGCATCGATGGGAGAGAGGAGCAAGGAGAACGGAGAGATGGGAGAGGGGAGACGAAACATGCGAACGGCGAGAAGAGAGATGAGAGGCGAGATGAGAGAGGCAACAAGGACGAGGAGGAGGAGGAAGATGAGGAGGAGGTGGGGGAGGTGGAGGAGGAGGACGAGGAGGAGGATGCGGCTGCGGAGGAGGAGGGGGAGGAGTGGGAGGTGGAGGAGGAGGAGGAGGAGAAAAAAGAGGATGAGAGAGGAGGAACAGGGTGAGGAGGAGGTGGAGGAGGAGGTGGAGGAGGGAGAGGAGGAGGAGGGAGAGGAGGCAGAGGCAGAGGCGGAGGAGTAGTCGGAGGAGGAGGGGGAGGACACGGAGGAGGCCGCGGCGAAAGAGGAGGAGGCGGAGGAGGAGTATGAGGAGGAGGAGGAAGAGGATGAGGAGGAGACGGCGGAGGAGGCGGCGGAGGAGGCATGAGGATGAGAAGGAAGCGGAGGAGGAGGACGGGGATGCGGAGGAGGAGGCACAAGACAACCACTCGGCAGAAACCTAAACCGTATACTTTACTAGTAATCTTAAGAAAGCGTCGACTAGTAGGATCAATAATACTAGCATTCACTCCGAGAAATAATACTACTACTGCTCGACAAAGTAATGATACTACTATTATTATTAATGATCCGGGCAATACGAATGCGAACGCTAATATTAATGGTACTACGGGCGATGATACTTTTCACATACCTCATTTTTAATACGAATAATACTACGTAGTATAAGTAGCCGCATTAGTATTAGTAGCGTGAGTGGTAGTAGTAGTAGTAGTAGTAGTAGTAGTAGTAGTAGTAGTAGTAGTAGTAGTAGCAGTAGCAGTAGCAGTAGCAGTAGCAGTAGCAGTAGCAGTAGCAGTAGCAGTAGTAGTAGTATAGTTAGTAGTAGTAGTGTAGCAAGTAGTAGTAGTAGTAGTCGTAGTTCGTAGTCGTTAGTCGTAGTCGTAGTCGTAGTTCGTTAGTAGTAGTAGTAGTAGTAGTAGTAGTAGTTAGTAGTAGTAGTTGTTGGTGTTGTAGTTGTAGTAGTTGTAGTTGTAGTAGTTGTAGTAGTAGTAGTAGTTAGTATAGTAGTAGTAGTAGTAGTAGTTAGTAGTAGTAGTGTCGTAGTAGTTGTATAGTAGTAGTAGTAGTAGTTCGTCGTAGTCGTTGTCGTCTAGTAGTGTCGTAGTGTGGTAGTAGTAGTAGTAGTAGTAGTAGTAGTAGTAGTAATAAGTAGTAGTAGGTAGTAGTGGTAGTAGTAGTGTATTAGTAGTAGTATAGTCGTAGTAGTAGTAGTAGTAGTAGTAGTAGTAGTAGTAGTAGTAGTAGTAGTAGTAGTAGTAGTAGTAGTAGTAGTAGTAGTAGTAGTAGTAGTAGTAGTAGTAGTAGTAATATGAGTATAGTAGAACACTAGTAGTAGTAGTAGTAGTAGTAGTAGTAGTAGTAGTAGTAGTAGTAGTAGTAGTAGTAGTAGTAGTAGTAGTAGTAGTAGTAGTAGTAGTAGCAGTAGTAGTAGTAGTAGTAGTAGTAGTAGTAGTAGTAGTAGTAGTAGTAGTAGTAGTAGTAGTAGCAGTAGTAGTAATGATGATACTACGAGTGATACTGATATTACGAACACTAATACGACGATGCACCATATTAAGCATACTACTTTTTCGGATCACACGATTAAGTGCGTTGGCACACATAATAGCACGACGCGGAGGATGAGGAGGAGGAGGATGAGGATGAGGAGGAGGAGCGGGGGGGGGAGGAGGAGGAGCAGGGAGAGGAGGCAGAAGACGACCACTACTCCTCAGAAAAAAAAAGAGGGGGATGAGGAGGAGGATGAGGAGGAGACGGAGAAGAGAGAAGCAGAGAGGAGCGAGAGAGAGAGAGATAACATATGAGAGAGGAGAGAGGAGATATGAGAGAGGAGAACGGAGAGAGGGTAGAGGAGAGAGGAGCGAGAGGATAGGAGAGAGGAGGGAGGAGAGAGAAGAGATGGAAGAGTAACGAAGCGAGAGGAGAGACGAGAGAGAGGAGAGAAGGGAACAGAGTGGAGCGAGGAGAAGGAGGAGTAGGAGGAGGATGAGGAGGAGGCGAAGAAGGTGTAGGATGAGGAAGAGGAGGACGAGGAGGAGGAGGACGACGAGGAGGAGGACGAGGAGGAGGAGGAAGAGGAGGACGAGGAGGAGGAAGAGGAGGCGGAGGCGGAGGAGGAGGAGGCGGAGGAGGACGAGGCGGAGGAGGACGAGGCGGAGGAGGAGGACGAGGAAGGTGAGGAGGAGGAGGCGGAGGCGGAGATGGAGGAGGAGGAGGAGGAGGAGGAGGAAGAGAAGGAGGAGGAGGAGGAGGAGGAGGAGGCGGAGGAGGAAGAGGAGGAGGAGGAGGAGGAGGAGGAGGAGGAGGAGAGGAGGAGGAGGAGGAGGAGGAGGAGGAGAGGGGGAGGAGGAGGGGGAGGCGGAGGAGGAGGAGGCAGAATAGGAAGACGAACAACCATACTTCGAACACTGGTAACGATATTACTTTCACTATCCAGAACAAAAGTACGAATGCCAATGCGAACGCCAATCACAATGATTCAACTAGGAGAGAGAGGAGGATGAGAGAAGGAGGAGGAATCTGAAGAAGAGGAGGGGGAAGGAGGATGAGGAGGAGGCAGACAAGTAATACTAATACGCAGCATAATAATAATATGACATGTAAGAAGGCTAATAATAAGAGGGAGAAGGAGGAGGAGGAAGAGGAGGAGAGAGGAGAGAGGAGAGAGGATGGATGAGAGAGGGGAGAGGAGAGAGAGGACAGAGGAGAGCGGAGAGAGGGTGTAGGAGAAAGGGTAGAGGAGAGAAATGAAGGAGGAGAGAGGAGAGATGAGAGAGGAGAGAGGAGAGAGGAGGGAGGAGATGGAGGAGGAGGAGGAAGAGTAGGAGGAGGAGGATGAGAAGGAGGAGGAAGAGGAGGAGGAGGAGGAGGAGCGGAGGAGGAGGCGGAGGTGGAGGAGGAGGCGGAGGAGGCGGAGGCGGAGGCGGAGGCGGAGGCGGAGGAGGACGGGGAGGAGGAGGTGGAGGCGGAGGCGGAGGACGAGGAGGAGGAGGAGGAGGAGGAGGAAGCGGAGGAGGCGGAGGAGGAGGAGGACGAGCAGGAGGAGGAGGCGGAGGAGGAGGCGGAGGCGGAGGAGGAGGAGGATGAGGCGGAGAAGGAGGAGGAGGAGGAGGAGGAAGGCAGTGGAGGAGGAGGTGGGGGGGAAGGAGGAGATGGAGGAGGAAGATGAGGAGGAGGAGGCATAAATATAACAATAGTACGTATACCAAGACATCTTGTAAGATTCGTATTATTTTATATGTAATAGTGATAACAACAATCTTAACAATAGTAATAACAATACGAATGACCGTCCTAATATCACTAACCGTACCAGTAAGGAGAGGAGGAGGATGAGGAGGATGAGGAGGATGATGAGGAGGAGGAGGAGGGAGGGAACGAGGAGGAGGAGGAGGAGGAGGAGCAGGAGGATGAGGAGGAGGCAGAAGCAAAAGAAAAAGAAGCAGCAGAAGAAGAGGAGTAGGAGGAGGAGGAGAAGAGAGGAGGCGGAAGCCGGAAGAGGCGGATGCAGGAAGCGGCCTCCCATTCGCCACAACAGATACACAGACGCCCTCCACTTGGATTGTTCCTGGGCCCCAGGGGAAGGGCTGCGGTGTATAAGTCACCACTGAGAGCTAGCGACCTTAAACACGGGGAGGTGCATGCAACATTCTTCGGACGGTCTTATAATGTCGTGGCGTATCCCAGATCTGGACGCGGCGCTCGCCGCCAGCCGGCAGACCTACGACGCAGAGCAGCGGCGCCGCCTCACTTGAGCTGGCGCGCGGGCCGGGGCGACTGACCTCGCGGGGGGCTGCCTCCCTTCTGTCGGAGAAGGAAACTACGCCATAAACAAAAGCTTTTGGGCGTTCCGCGCGGTTCTGTTGCATCTGCGCTGGCTCCCCCTGGCGGCGCCGCCCCTGGCGCCCCGCGCGCCAGGGAGGGGGACCCAGGGCAGATCCAAGGAACCCGCGGGAAGCGCCAAAACTTCATTTTGTGTTGGTTGTTCTTCCTCTAGGGCAGCGGCGCCGCCTCACTTGAGCCGGCGCACGGGCCGGGGTAGCCGACCTCGCGCGGGCTGCCTGCTTTTTATGATGTTTCACAGGGTCTGGCACGACGGCTGCCAGGGAGGTCGGCATCGCTCAGGACCCTGCCAAAAGGAAGCACGTGGGAGAGGAGGGGGAGTCTCGGGTCGGACCAAAAGGGGGGGCTTGGAAAGGTTTTGTGCAAGTCTGCTGCGCGCCGCTGGCTTCAGCTTCGTCGCCGCCGAGCCCTTCCTGTGATACGCGGTCTGTCCCGTCGCTGGGAGGCGCTGGGAAAGCCCAGCTGCACGCGGCCGGTTTGCTACTTCCCTCTGGCATTCCTCCCCTTCGTCCGACCCGGGCCAAGTGTTAGAAACACATGAGAGGGGAGGGGATTGGAGCGCGGGCGGGAGAGGGCCAGCCCCGCTCGGGAGTGGAGGGGCGCTCGCTGGCGCGCGCATGGAAGAGTACGTATGGTTTCTCCTTTGCGTCCATCGAGGGAAGAAATACGGGGACCATGGCCAAAATGGCGCGGGATCTTGTCCATGCCAGTCCTGGTCATGGTCCATGTCGGCCGTCGCCGAATCGCGAGGATGATGCACGAATAGGCGCTGACCAAGATCGGCGCTGACCAAGATCGGCACGGCGTTTCCGCGTTCAGTCTTGGTCACGGTTCACGTTTTCTTCCCATCCAGTTCAGGAGATGCTGCCGGAGCGGTTCCACGGAGTGATTCCCTGGGCTCATGCCGCGAACCCCTTTTGCGTTCTGCTGGCGGAAGCACGGCATCACAAAGGATTCGGCACCCAGGTTGTCGATTTTGCGGTGGGCGAGCGGAGAGCGGAGAGGAGCTCTGTTGAACATCGGAGTTGACATATTCAATCTCCTGGGCGATAGCAGAGCCTGAAAAGGGGCGCAAACGGAACCTTGAAGCATCGAAACATCGAAAGTGAGGCATTAAGCTTTTAGACTAAGCTCACGAACCACACACAACATACTCCACGATATCAACACCTGTCGCAGTTCGTGGGCCCCAGCCCTGGTGTCAGAAGCATTATCCATTAAACCTTCCGCTGACGACGTGAGCGTATTCTGTACTCCCCACGAGTTCAGGTTTAAATGGTCCGAAAGAAATGGTTACGAAACGACTGTTTGGACAATTGTTGCATGACGTTGCTTCGTCCTCGCTAACCTCCCCTTTGCTAGATGCCCCTGGTCGTCCGGCCCTGAAGGCAAGGCTGAGTCAATGTAGAGTGGCGTCGCTCTGGTTGCGTCACAATTCCCAGCTCGTGATGACCCCCCCTTCAAGCGACGTTACCAGGGCGGCTCTCTCCGCAATCTCCTCGTTCGCAGCGTTCAGCAAAGGAGTTTGGGATCTTGCGAGGCTCCAAACTTATTGTCAAATGATTCCGCATCAAACGTAAAGGGCGAGATGCCCCGGCAGTGTCAATGAGGGATCACACACAGGACGTAATTTGTTTGCTCCATGCACTTCGAATGTGGCCTCCGATGCCATCATACTCGTAAGACCTACGGGCAATGAATCGTGATCAGCCATGCAGAACCTAGACCTCGTTCTCAACGTCATACCCGTCGTCTCTGGTGCGGCCATATCTCTCGGCCTTGTCTTCGGTGAAATCTAGATGCCTCCGCAAACCGTGCGATTTGGCTTTGGGCTCAAGTCCTCATTAGCGTCGAACCTCCACGCTGAGGACCTAGTGTATATCAGACTCACTCGAACTCCAGGTCTATCCGCCCGCTCCATGGTGGCGCCGTTCTGGCTTCTCTGCACATTTGTATGTTTCAGTTGTGCCGAAGCTGTTAAGAATAAGGACTATGCTTGGAGGCAAAATGAAGATTGTGAAGGCGGCTTTTCCAGCGCCGCTGTCATCGACGACTCAGTCTTTGCAGGCTTGCCTTTTATTTTAGCTTGTGCTACCGCCTGTATGCTGCATGGTGCCAACGTCTTTTGGTTGAGGGAGGGAGGAGAGAGAGAGAGAGATAGACCGAGAGAGAGAAAGAGAGAGAGAGAGAAGGAGAGACAGAGAGAACAACCAACAAGGGAGATAATGAGAGAGAGAGGGAGAGAGAGGGCGGGCGGGCAGGAGGGAGGGTGGGAGAGAGAGAGAGAGAGCGAGCGATAGAGAGAGAGAGAGAGAGAACACGACAATGCCGAAACAGCAACAACGCATTATTGCGCAGATCATTGATATGGCTGGAGAGGGAAAGAGACAGAGAGTGAGAGAGAGAGAGAATGGACGAGTTTGAGAGAGAGAGGGAGAAAGAGTGGTCGAAAGAGAATGAGAGAGCGAGAGAGAGAGAGAGAGAGAGCGAGAGAGGGACACGCTCAACATGGTCCTTCCTCTACGATCGACGCACTGGAGAGCGAAGAGCGAGATAGGCGATCTGAGAGCAGCATCCGCTTGTGGGCCGCCTGCCCCGTGTGAGTCCGTTCCGCCAAGATGCTTCCACAGGGCGCCTTCGGGTTCATCCATGGTGTGCCACCGCGCCTCTGGACAGTACCTCCTGATGTATCAGAGTGAGGGGGGTCGAACGTCTTAAACGGTCCCTATGTTCCGCCAGGGTTCCACGGTGCGGATGGGCGTTGTTGCTGAAATGCCATCCTTTCAGCATACTTCTGCTTGACCCCCCCGTCAGTGCCCATTATGTGTTTTTCCATTGAAGTGCCCTTCCCGGGGCTCGCATCCAGTTTTGTCCAGGGGACAGTCGTGGATCTCCAAATTGTGGTGTTGCCCTTCATACTGCAACAACAACAACCAGCTTAAGATTGGTTGCTCGTTTTTGCTCGCGTGCCACTAAGCTTGCATATTCCAACCCGCGATGCCCGCCCTACTTGTTTTTCGATCGCACCACCTTTGGAAGCATATCCTTCGCACCTGCCACGTGTAGTCAGCGCAGCCCCTAAGACAGGGGAAGAGAGGGAAGAAGGAAGAAACAAGGGGGAGGGAGAAGATTGGAGCACGAGAGAGATTAGCAGGATGAGGCTTGGGAGCAGGAGCACAAAGCGGCATGACCAGACGGGCGGGTTGGGCGGGCGGGTTTTGACGAGCGGGCGGGCGGGCGGGCCCGGACGGCCGGGTCGAGCAGGGGGGTCGCCGGAGCGTCAGTCTGCATGAGCCGCGAGGGAGTCTCGGGCGATAGCGCGATCCCCAAGTAAATCGCGAGGAAGTCCAGAGCGAGAGCGTGATTCCTGAGTGTCGAGGTCGCGGCGTCTGAGCAAATTGTGAGGGAGTCCCAAGCGAGAGCGCGATTGTTTGATAAATCGTGAGGACGTATCAGGCGGGAGTAGTTGTTGTATTATTCCGGGCGCCAATAACACAATCTTGAGATCCAATACTGTCCCGTGTAAATGAGGGTGCGAGCCCTGGAAGGGGCACTTCAACTGAGAAAATCACAGGGCGTTTGAGGGGGATTAGCGATAATTACTTATGAAGGCAGAGCTCAACAACAGCACATCAACACAACAACACAACAATAAGCACAATCGCCCGACGGAACAAATTTTCAGCCACGCACACAGGGATGGTGTAAGACCGTTCCGCCCCTCACTCTGATAAACTGTACATTTCTTGCGACGCATTGCCCGCGCGTTCTGTTTTGCCCGTGCAAGCACGGTTCTCGGCCATAAGCAAGGGGTCACCGCGACTGCTCTATACCTTCGGCTCTCACTGCTTCGTGTGGTCTTGGCCTTAGGGGAAACAATGCTGCTCGCAGTTGCGCGCGGCCGCTGCGAGCTGGCCAGCTGCTCGGTTGCCGAGCGAGGCAATGTTGGCTCAGAGGACCGGGATGAAGTTGGCCAAGAGGGCACGGGCCTCGCACCGCGGTCCACAATTTTAGGCGAATGCTCACGAACACCACGAGATGGTCGCACGCTAAACTTAACACCCCCTGTCCCCCCAAAAAAAAAACAAAACACACACACGCAAAGAACACACGTCCCAAGCGAGAGAGACGGCAGCCTAGGGAAGGAGCCATGGACCCATGACTCCCCCCTAGACTCCCGATGTCGTGTTTTTGCTCGCGGAGGGGTCCCTGGAGCTCTCGACCTCGTCCCTGACCGGTCTTTCATCCCGAATGGTTATTTCCTCATCTCGGGCTGGAGACGGGCTTCATCATCTCGAGGTTAGGGGCGGGCTTCCAGAAGCCCAAATTTAGGGAAGTTTACGGCAGTGATGACACGCGAATGCCATGCCAGACCGCACAGCATCATCTTTTCGTTTGCCTTGGTTGGCTTCTGCCATTCGTCACCTCGTCATCCTCGTCGCAACCTCTTTCATCTTGATCGGGCTTTGACCCTCGGCATTGTGCAACAAATCTCTCCTGCTGAACTCCTTTTACGTCCCCATCATAAAACAGACAGGGCAGAGAGGCAGGCCTGACCTAGCAGCAGTAAGGAAGCAGTGGGGCGAAACAGTGGCAATGAGAAACAAATATAGTCGTCGTTTTGTAATTTATTGTTTCGCCGATCGGCGCGGGCCATCGCACCCCCCCTTCCCCTCCCTCCCTGGAGTAGATATTGGCTGTTTTTGTCGCCGGTTTCAGGCAGGTGGAGCCTCCCCCAGTGGACACACGGTTCCAAACAGTCGGATTAAGCAGAAGTCCAGAGCCAGACCCCCCCCCCTTCCCTCTTGCCGCCCAACGTCGACACGCCGAATAAGGAAACGCCCACATGATTAGAGCGTCCAGAGCATTCTATATGGCCAGTTGGCGCAGGGACCCCCTCGGATGCAAGAGATGGTCAGGGGGAGGGTGTCTCCCCGCGGCCTCTGCCTCTCCGCTTGCCTCCCCCCTTCCTGCCCTCCTCTCCGTCCTCCTCCTCCTCCTCGGCCTGCCCTCCTCTCCATCCTCCTCCTCCTCTCCATCCTCCTCCTCCTCTCCGTCCTCCTCCTCCTCCTCTCAGCCTCTTCCTCCTCCTCCTCTTCTTTTTCCTCCTCCTCCTCCTCCCCCGTCCTTCTCCTCCCCCTCCTCCCCTCCTCCTCCCCCTCCTCCTCCCCCTCCTCCTCCTCCTCCTCCTCCTCCTGCTCCTCCTGCTCCTCCTCTTCCTCCCTCCTCCTCCTCCTCCTCCTCCTCCTCCTCCCTCTCCTCCTCCTCCTCCTCTCCTCCTCCTCCTCCGCTCTCCTCCTCTCTCCTCCTCCTCCTCCTCCTCCTCCTCCTCCTCCTCCTCCTCCTCCTCCTCCTCCTCCTCCTCCTCCTCCCCCTCTTCCTCGATGGAGACGCTGGCAGCTTCCCTGCTGACGGGCAGGACGGAGAGCGCATTCGAACCAGTGACCCCCGACCTCCATCGATGTCTTTTTACCTAACAGCGAAGACTGATAGGTTTCTAGTGGTGTCAAAAGAGAGCATCTGATGACTTAGAAGGGAGGTCTGGGCGGCATCCGGACAGCGAGGGCCGGGCTCAGGGCCGGGCTCGTTTTCAGCAAACAGTCGCACACTTCGTGCTCTTCGACCTCCCAGAGCTCCATTCCCGGGCCACATTTTGAATGCCCGGAGCCAACTGTGGGCCACTTCGTGCTCTACGACTTCCCAGAACTCCATTCCCGGGCCACATTTCGGATGCTCGGAGCCACTTGTAGGCCACTTCGTGCTCTTCGACTTCCCAGAACTCCATTCCCGGGCCACATTTTGGATGCCCGGAGCCAACTGTAGGCCACTTCGTGTTCTTGAACTTCCCAGAACGCCGTTCCCGGGCCACATTTTGAATGCCCGGAGCCAACTGTAGGCCATTTCGTGTTCTTCCAGTTCCCAGAACGTCACTCCCGGGCCACATTTTGAATTCCCGGAACCAACTGTACGCCACTTCGTGTTCTTCCATTTCCCAGACTTCCAAGACTCATCATCATCTTCATCTTCATCTTCATCTTCATCTTCATCATCATCATCATCATCATCATCATCATCATCGTCCCCGTAGCCTTCTTGGCTACAGCCCTGCTTTCGAAGATTTCCTTTCAAAGGAACTGTGCAGCGCCTACTGCGCACCTTAATGCCAGGACATGCTTCCACTACTACCACACTACTACCTTCACTACTACTTCTACTGCTACTATCACTGTTTCTATTACTGCTGCTGCTGCTGTTGCTGCTGCTAGTGTAGCTATTACTACTGCAACTACTGGCAGTGCCACTGCGACTGCCGCTGATGTTGCCACTGCGACTGCCACTGCGAATCCGAATGCGACTGCGAGAACACCAGAATTCGACAACAGCGCTCTTACATGAATACCACAGGCAATGTTTCCAGCTATGCTTCTACACATCGCTGTTAGGTTACTTTGCCGGGATAATTTTAAGGCGCAGTCCTTCATCCGTCGCCTTGGTAAGAGGTTCTTTTCCCGAGTAGTGTTTGAGTCGGCCCAGCGGCCCGAGAGCGGACCCATGGAAGCCGACAGGACAGAGAGTGGCGGCAAAAACGTTGGTATTGCGTCTGCTCGCAACGTGTGGGGATATGGTACAGTCAAAAACCTTAATGAGGACGCGCGACTTTGCTCAGGGTACCCCTGCGTCCTTGCTCTTCCTTGCTCCTGCGTCCTTGGCGTTTTCGTCGTCCGCCGCCCCAAAAATCCCAACTTCGGCTTCCAAGGGTCTTGCGTCCTTGCCGCGCGTCCGTATTAGGGTGTTTGACTGTATTGCGTTTGCTCGCAACGTGTGGGGATCTGGTAGGGGAGGGCGTTCAATGAAGCAAACTGTAGCAGGGTTCTCCTGACCCAGACATCCCACGATGTGATTTTTCAGCCTGCAAGCCTCACAGGGCCCCACGCTCAGCCGGGGGTGCACTTCCCGTTCCCAACTGACTTTTGCTTGTCTCTGGGTCCTTAGATGGGCACGCCGAAGAAAGACACCAGGAATGACAAACATCGCATCGTCGGACATGTGGGGTCTGTCCTAGCTTGGAGGTCCTCTTTGGAACCTGTGGGCGTCTTTCTTGCGGCGTCTTGCGGGCCGTCTTGGGGGACCTCCTGTGGTCGGGGAGGGAAGGGTCAGCATCATTGAATGCCTGATCTTGCCCTGGTGGAGCAATGTACTGCTCGCCGAGGCCATCTTGGACGCTCCACCCCCCCGCGGAACTCCTTGTGCAGGTCTGCGGGGGGAGGCGGTAGGGGGAGGGGTCAAGTTACCCCTTCCCCGCCCGCAAGCCGTCTCGCTCACTCCCACCCGCCCTCCCAACACATACGTAGCACCCGAATCTGGCCCGAGCCTCAGCATATTCAGCAGTCGTCTTGGGATGGGCAGCTACTGGGCGCCAATCCGCCGCCGCCGCCCCGCCGCCGCCGCCGCCGCCGCCCGCCGCCGCCGCCGCCGCCGCCGCCGCGCCGCCGCCGCCACCGCCGCCGCCGCCTGTCGCCGCCGCCGCCGCCGCCGCCGCCGCCGCTCAGCCGCCACCGCCGCTGCCGCCGCCGCCACCGCCGCCGCCGCCGCCGCCCCCCGCTGCCAAACCGCCGCCGCCGCCGCTGCCGCTGCGCTGCCGCCCCCGCCGCCGCGCCGCCGCCGCCGCCCCGCCGCCGCCCCCGCCCCCGCCCCCGCCCGCCGCCGCCGCCACCGCCGCCGCCGCCGCAGTCGCCGCCGCCGCCGCCGCCGCCGCCGCAGCCGCCGCAGCCGCCGCCACCGCCGCCGCAGCCGCCGCCGCCGCCAAGTGTACTCTGCATTGTGTTTTGACAGGGATGGTGGGGGGGGGGGGCGCATCGGGTTGGCTGCGCATGTTCCGAATTTGGAGGCAGAGTGTGTTTTGTATGGTTTTTACAAGGGATGGTGGGGGGGGGGTCGGCATGGACCCTGGTTGGCCCCCAGTCGCCTGGGGGAGGGGATGTTCACTAATAGGGAACAGTGATTTAATCCTCCCCGAAGGGGAAGGGCAACGATGGGGGATTGGAGAGAGAACTCCCCAAACCACTCACGCCCTAAAGGCCAGGTGGGTTCTTGCCAAGTGGGGTAAAGTTTCCCTGACCCTGGACATCCGATGTCCTGACTTGTTCAGTGCGAGGCCCCCGTATGTCGCGACCGTCTCCCCTCTGCAGAGCCTGCTTTTTCACCCCGAGCCGCTGGAAATGATTCGGGATGACAGGCTGGCCCTGAAAAGTATCAACACGGGGGTTGCTGCTGCGTCGAGCTGCGCACAGACAGTTCCCCCCAGGTAGTCTTGGCAAGCCTCAGCAGGCCCCCCGGGCAGTCCCGGCTGTCCTTGACGGGCCCCTCGGGCAGTCCAGGGCGGCCTCAGCAGCCTGGCGCCGCCCCCGGCGGAGCGCCACAGGGTCGGGGTGGTGAGACCGCCCCCGGACCGCGCGGGGTTCCTGTTGAGGCCTGCCTGGGCTACCCGAGGGGGCTGTCTGCGCTCAGCCCGAAGCTTTAATTACCAGATAGAGGTGAAAAGGCTACGAACAAGCTCCGTCCTGATTGTTTCGATACGTCCCCCCCGGACGTTCCGGCCACTTCCCTGGGGTTGGTTTTCCATGCGCTTTCCATCCCGAGCAGCTTTCTGACTGCCTGGGGTCCGGGGAGGGCCCCTGCAGGCCGAAACCGGGTAGAAACCTCCGATCGCGGCGTATTATATATCTGCATATCTGTGGTTGCATGCATGGCTGGCTGGCTGGCTGGATGGATAGATGGATTTGTATCGATGTATGGATGTATGTAATGTAGTGTAGTGTAGTGTAGTGTAATGTAATGTAATATAATGTAATGTAATGTTATGATTTGTTATGCTATGCTATGATATGCGATGTATGTATGTATGTATGTATGCATGTATGTATGCAATGTAATGCAATGTAATGTAATACAATGTAGTGCAATGGAATGTAATGTACTGTAATGTAATGCAATGTAATATAATGTAATGTAATGTAATGTAATGTAATGTAATGTTATGTAATATAATGTAATGTAATGTAATGTAATGTAATGTAATGTAATGTAATGTATGTGTGTATGTATGTCTGTGTGTCTGTATGTATGTATGCCTATATGTCTGTATGTCTGTATGTACGTATGTACGTATGTACGTATGTACGTATGTACGTACATACGTACATACGTACGTATGTATGTGTGTATGTATGTATGGATGTATGTACGTATGTACGTACGTATGTATGTATGCATGTATGTATGTATGCATGTATGTCTATAAGTATGGATGCACGTACATATTCATGTACGTATGTGTGTGTATGTAGGTACGTAGGTCGGTAGGTAGGTATGTAGATGTATATGCTTGCCTATATATACATATATATATATATGTGTATAGATATTCATGTGCATGTAAACATATACACATACAAGTATGTCTGGGAAGATACCTCCGCCTTGAGATTATTTTTGTCGTCTGCTTGACTCCAGGGTGCCCTGCTTGCCTCCAGGGTTTTCTGGGTTTCTTGCGTTTCCATGGCTTAACTGTGGAAGGCGTGACTTCCCCACGCCAGACACCACTGCACATCCTGGGGTCTTAGGCTTGGGTTTCCCGTGGAGGGCTTGTCGTGGTCGCGGGCTCCTGCTGTACGTGCGCTCAGGGATCGGGGTCGCCCAGACCAAGCATGCGCTGGGGCGACAAGGCGCGCTGCTTGAACGGATTGCAGGGGAAGCCTCGGACGCGGCGGCTGCCGCACCGTGAGATCTGGGGAGGCGGTCCCTGGGCCCACCCGGGGCCCCCTGTCGGACTCTTCTATGGTTAAGTCGGACGTGCCCCTCTCCAGGAGGAATATTCAAAAATAGTAAACACATTGTTTGGGACGATTTTTCGTTGAGTTATCCTCTTGTAGGAGGACATGCCCGACCTAGTTGTATCACTATCAAAACCTGTAGCGAAGCGATGGCACAGTCAAGACGCTGTAACAATATCCGTTTTGAACTCAGGATTGGCTCAAGCCCTCCGTGCCCTAGATTTCAAGGGCCCGTTTGTGGCCTGGGCCCGGTGTGGCCCGAAGAGCCGCTCGGCTCCTCTTCGTCCGTCACCCATGGCAGCACGATGGCTGCACGAGAGCAGAACATTCCCCGTCTGTAGACTGGAGAGGCCTTACGGCCGGTGCCGCCGACCCTAGACGCCGACGACGACGACGATGACGCCGACGACGACGACGCCGACGATGACGCCGACGCCGACGCCGACGCCGACGCCGACGCCGACGCCGACGCCGACGCCGACGCCGACGGGGACGACGGCGACGGGGACGACGGCGACGGGGACGACGGCGACGGGGACGACTGCGACGGGGACGACTGCGACGGCGACGGCGACGGCGACGACGACGGCGGCGGCGGCGACGGCGACGACGGCGACAACGGCGACGACGACGATCCGCCAGTAGATTTTCCCAAGACGTCGACCCCGCACAGAGGGGGGTATGGGGGAGGGGGGAAGGCTTCTTAGAAGCACCCCTGCTTCTTAGAAGCCGCGGGCCTCGTCTGTAGACGTAGGGCCGGCGCCTTCTAAGAAGCAGCCTCCTTCTAAGAAGCCTTCCCTCGTCCCCCTGCCCCCACGTGCGCTCCGCCAAAAAACGTCCACCCGAGGACCCCGGCGACCCGCCGCCCGCCCTGGGCGCCGCGTCGTGCCGGGCGGGCGGGCTGGCGGTGGACGCGGCCCCCGGCGGCGCCCCTGGCGTGCCAACGGCAGCGCGGCCACGCCGCGGCCAGCGAGAGGCCCGGGCCTCGTCTGATGATGCTCCAACCTTCAGGCAGTGGCGAAGTGTCCTGGCTTGCCTACACGCACACTAAAGAATGTTCTGAAAGCCCCATGTGGTCCGCACGAATTGTTAGAGCATGCTTGGTTTAGAACGACTCGTTTCAACACGTCGGGTCTATGTTGTAAGAACATTTCTTTTGTTGTTGGAACACCTTTTGGTTCTACGAAAATTTCGTGGTAGGCCTATAGGAATACCGGGACGGTCAGTCCCTGCTCCACATTTCCGTAAGCCTTGGCCACCAGAAAAAATCAAGCACCAAGAACATACCGAAGCTGGAGGGTGTTCGCGTCTGGCCGTGGAGGCGATGCTCGTTCGAAGCTTCGCCAGCGTGTCGGGCAGGCACTGTTTCCATATTGTTCTGAGAGCTCGAAATGATTTCTGGGATGGGGTCATTCAGTACGATGGGAACAACATAAGCCTCATCGAGGAGGGATTTCTTTCGGAGTCAGGGTGCGAGCCCCGGGAAGGGCACGTCAATCGAAAAAGACAATGTGCACCGGACGGGGGGGGATCAACAATAGTTATTCTTCAAAAATGAGAGTTCAACAACAACAACACACAACATCAACCGCAGCAGCAACAACAACGCAACAAGCAGAATTCTTCACGCTTCGCGTATCCCCACCAGCCCATCTCAAAACAGCAACTCTTGCGAAGCATGCCGGCAGTCGTGTTTTTCAGACGTGTTTCCGCCTGCCCCCGCATATCTCCTCTGTTCCTCCTTCCTCCCGCCTCCTTGTACATCCTCCTTGTGGTGGGAGCGGGAGAAGGACGAGGCGGAGGAGGAGGGAGAGAAAGCGCTCCTCGTGGTTTGAGTCGTTAGGGGTTTCTCGTCCTGGTGTGAGTCGTTCGGGCCCTTCTTCCTGGTGTGAGTCGTTCGGGCTCTTCGTGGTGTGAGTCGTTCGGGCTCTTCGTCCTGGTGTGAGTCGTTCGGGCTTCTCGTGGTGTGAGTTGTTCGGGCCCCTCATCCTGGTGTGAGTCGTTCGGGCCCCTCCTCCTGGTGTGAGTCGTTCGGGGCCCCGGGCGTGAGTCGTTCGGAGTCGTTCGGGCGCCGTTCGGGCTGAGTCGTGAGTCGTTCGGGCTCCTCGTGGTGTGAGTCGTTCGGGCTCGTTCGTCCTCGTTCGAGTCGTTCGGGCTGTGTGTGAGTCGTTCGAGTCAGTCGTTCTCGTCCTGGTGTGAGTCAACCTCGTCCTGGTGCAAGTCGTTCGGGCCCCTCGTAGTAGGAGTAGTTGGAAGCCTCTTGGAGGCCTTTTGGGGTGTTTTGGGGGCCTCTTGGCGGCCCCAGGGGCTCCGAGAAGCGTCTTGGGTGCCTTGGGGGAGCCTCTTCGGGCTTCTTGGGAGCCTCTTGGAGGCCGTTTGGGGCGTCGTGGGGGCCTCTTGGCGGCTCCAGGGGCTTCCAGGAGCGTCTTGGGTGCCTCGGGGGAGCCTCTTGGGGCCTCTTGGGAGCCTCTTGGGGGCCTCTTGGGGGCCTCTTGGAGGCCTCTTGGGGCCTCTTGGGGCTCTTTGGGAGGAGTCTGGGAGGTATCTTGGGGCCTACTTTCGAGCGATCGATCAAAGATGGGGGGGAGGGGTTTCTCCCCCCCCCGTCGGGGCCAGAATCCTCGTGAGGGGTGTCGTTTTTTTAGCCCTCCGAGGAGTCGAGAAAGACCCCTCCAACGACCCGCGGAACGCCCTCTCCAGGCCCAGGGGGAGGGGGTAGGGGGAGGGTAAACCCCTCCCCGAAGGGGAAGAAGTGGGTTGAGAACAGAGCGGGCTCTCTAAACCACTCACGCCCAAAGGGCTGGTGGGATTCTCACCACGAATTCCTCATTCAGCCACGCACCCAGGGACACTGAATGACCGTTCGGTCCCCTCACTCTGATCTTCATTACCTGCCACGTGTAGTTGGCGTAGCCCCTAACACAGGGGGAGAGAGGGAGGAGTGAAGGGACACGGGGGAGGGAAAAGGATGGTGCACGAGGGAGATTAGCAGGAGGAGGGTTGGAAGCGGGAAGACAAGCGGCAGAACTAGACGGGTGGGTCGGCCGGGCGGTCGCTAAACTCTAAGAGGCGGGTCGGGCGGGCGGGCCCAGACGGCCAGGCCGAGCGAGCGGGTCGCTGAAGCGTCAGTCTTGCATGAATCGTAAGGAAGTTTCGAGCGATAGCGCGATTTCCAAGTAAATCGTTAGGAAATCCAGAGCGAGAGCGTGATTCCTCAGTGTCGAGGGCGCGGCGTCTGAATACATTGAGAGGAAGTCCCACGCGAGAGCGCGATTCCTGGATTAATTGTGAGGACGGCGCGAGAGCGCGTCGAATACGTTGTGAAGAGATATAAGGCGGAAGCCATTGCTGATTATAAATTGTGGGCCCTGGGCTTCGTCTGCGGTGCAAGATCTTCTTTTGCAGAAGCAGTGTTCGAGCCCCAGGAGGTGCATTTCAATTGACAAGCAGATAAGTTACCAGGGGGGCCAACAATATATTTGTACTTTGGACGTGAAATTTCAGCAACACCAGTCACAACAATAGAGCATAAGCATAATCCACCCGACGGAGCTCCTCTTCAGCCACCCACACGGGACGGTGTGAGACCGTTCAGCCCTTCACTCCGATGTCTGATAGCCGTCGGGTACGAAGCCTATTGGATGTTTGTTGGGATCTCGTGGGAAGCCTCTCGGGCGCCTCTTGGAGGCAGTTTTGAGGACTCTTGGGGGCCGTGTTGGTGCCTCGTGGGGCCTCTTTTGGGCCTCTTGGGGGTTCCTCTTGGGGCCTCCTTGGGGGCCTCTTGGGGGCCCTCGAAACGTTTTGGGGGTGTGCCCGAATTGGTGGTGGGCGCGCATGTGGACACCGCCAGTGGGGCCTCATGGAGCAACGAAGCTTGTGAGGGGTGTGCCGAAATCGATGGCAGAGACGCAGGTGGACACCGCAACTGGCGCCTTGGGTGGAGCTCCCTACGGGGCCACGAAGCTTGCGAGGGGTGTGCCGAAACCGGTGGCGGGGACGCATGTAGACACCGCCAGCGGGGCCTCCAGTGGAGCTCTCGATGGAGACACGATATTTTCAAAGGGGTGTGCAGACATGAGTGGCGGGAACGCATGTGGACACCGCCAGCGGGGCCTTCGGTGGAGCACCCTGTGGGGCCACGAACCGTGTGAGGGGTGTGCCGAAATAGTAGACTGATGCGGAGAGCGTAGGCACGTAGGGAAGGAGGGAATAACGGGAGGAGGACGGTGAGGTGAGGTGGGGCGCGGGGCGTTGTCTCTTCAAAATGAGGACCCAAGACTTTATGATAGTTGGAACATAAAAAGGTTTGGGCTTACGGGCGGCAGGAACCCATGTGAACAGGCACCAGACGTACGTTAGATGTCCCCTCCTTGCGCGTATTGCTAAGTGCGAAGAGCCCGACGACCACATGTTAGATCCCCCTGGATGGCCTAGGCATGTGAATTCCTATCCTTGTGAAGGACCCAACCATTTGCAGTTGTGAGTGCCGTCGTTGCGGGTATCGCCTTCGGGGGATCTCCTCATGGGGCCATGATGCAAGCGAAGGGTGTGCCGATATGGGACGGGGCTGCCATGTGGGCGCTGCCACTGGGGTTTCAAGCGGAAACCACGATGGGGCCGCGAAACGTGTTGAGGGGTGCGCCTCAATGGGGCGGGGCCACCATTGGGGCCTTCGGTAGAGCTCCTCATGGGGCCACGAGACGCTGTACTGGGTGGGGGAAACGCATGCGAACACCGCCACTGGGGCCTCTGGTGGAGCTCCCTTTGGGGCACTCAACGCTGCACTGGGTCGGGGAAACGCATGCGGACACCGCCACCAAGGGCCTCTGGTTGAGCTCCCCTTGGGCCACGAAACGCTGCACCGGGTGAGTGAAACGCATGCGAACACCGCCATCGGGGTGGTGCAGCTCGAGTCGCTGTACTGGGTGGGGGGTATACATACGAACACCGCCATTAGGGCATTCGGAGGAGCTCCCTCTGGGGCCGCGAAACGTTGTACTGGGTGGGGGAACGCATGCAAGCACCGCCATTGGGACCTCTGGTGGAGCTCCTTATGGGGCCACGGAACGTTGCACTGGGTGTGGGAAACGCATGCGAACACCGCCACTGGTGCCTCTCGTGGAGCTCCTGATGGAGCTACGAAACTTTCTACTGGGTGGGGGGAACGCATGCGAACACCGCCACCGGGGCCTCTGGTGGAGCTCCCTATGGGGCCACAAAACGTTGTACTGAGTGGCGGAAGCGCATGCGAACGCCGCCACTGGGACCTTCGGTGCAGCTCGAGGCGATGTACTGGGTGGGGGAACTGCATGCGAACACCGCCTCTGGGGCATTCGGTGGAGCTCCTTCTGGGGCCACGAAGCGATGTATTGTGTGGGGGGGAGGCATGCAAGCACCGCCATTGGGACCTCTGGTGGAGCTCCCTATGGAGCCACGGACCGCTGTACTGGGTGAGGGGACCGCATGCGAATACCGCCATTGTGGCCTCTGGTGGAGCTCCCTGTGGGCCACGAAACGCTGTACTGCGTGGGGGAAACGCATGTGAACACAGCCACTGGTGCCTTCGGTGGAGCTCCCTATGGGCCTACGAAGCGCTGTACTGCGTGGGGGAAACGCATGCGACCACTGCATCCGCACGCATGTTGCCACCCCCATTGGGGCCTTCGATAGAGCTCCGCATGGGGCCTCGAAACGTGTGAGGGGTGTCCCGAAATGAACGGCTGGGACGCACGCAGCGGGAACGCTGAGACCTTCAGTGGGAATCCTTGTGGGGCTACGAAACGTGTGAGGTGTGTGCCGACATGAACGCTTGAGACGCATGCGGGCGGCGCCACTGAGGCCTTCGGGGGGCTCCCTATGGGACCGCCCCACGTCTGAGGCGTGTGCCGAAGTGGGCGTCTGGGACGCATGTGGACGCAGCCACTGGGGCCTTCGGTGGGACTCCCTATGGGGGCACCAACCGTATGAGGCCTGTGCCGAAATGAGCGGCTGGGGCGCATGTGGACGCAGCCATTGGGGCCTCCTGTGAATATCGGTGAAGCTCTCCTATGGGGCCACAGGACGTGTGAGGGGTGTGCCGACATGGGCGGCTGGGACGCATGTGGACGCAGCCACTGGGGCCTTCGGTGGAGCTCCCTATAGGGCCACGAAACGTGTGAGGGGTGTGCCGACATGGGCGGCTGGGACGCATGTGGACGCAGCCACTGGGGCCTTCGGCGGAGCTCCCCATGGGGCCACGAAACGTGTGAGGGGTGTGCCGAAGTGGGCGTCTGGGACGCATGTGGACGCAGCCACTGGGGCCTTCGGTGGAGCTCCCTATGGGGCCACGAAGCGTGTGAGGGGTGTGCCGACATGGGCGGCTGGGACGCATGTGGACGCAGCCATTGGGGCCGTCGGTGGAGCTCCCCATGGGGCCCTGAAGCGTGTGAGGGAGGCGCCGAAATGGTTGACTGGTGCGGAGGGCGGAGGCACGGATAGGAGGATGAAGGAGAGGGAGGAGGGGGAGGAGGAAGGAGGAGAGGAGACGCGGGGCGTTGTCGATTCAAACCGAGGACCCAACACCACAGGATGGTTGGGAAAAAACACATGCAAAGTGTGCACGGGCGCCATGCACATATTAGGCACCCCCTCCGCGTACATTTGTTTTGCATGCGAAGAGGCCGACGACTGCATGCTAGATGTCCCCCTTGGCGCACTTTCTTCGAGCGGGCACGCCCAGGATAAACTTCTTCCACCAAACAGTGTCCCGCACCCTGTGAACTATCGGATCGGGATTGCAAATACCAGCGTTTCGCCTGAGACATCCGTGAACAATAATGTGATGGCACACTTTGACCTCGTTATGTGTCACAGAAAGAATCCGCTGGCCCACCTCAGTCGAGGCACCGGGGACAGTTTACAAACTACAAAGAGAGCCCTGGGCCTACGCCCTCTCCAGGGACATGTCTTATTTGGATCCTGTTGGTGGTCCTCTTGTGGCCACCTTGGGCCCGCTTGGAGGCATCTTCGGCCGTCTTGAGGCCATCTTGGGTCATCGTTGGCAGCGTTTGTTGCCTGCCAGGGTCGTCTTGGAAGCTCGGTGCACAGATCCGTGCTTTTGTTTTTGTTCCGAGGGATCGTGGCCTCGGGAGCGCGGACACTGATTTATTACAAGGTATCGTGGCTCCAGGCAGGGGGAGGATGCGCGCAACAGTCTGCGATGAGAGGGGGGGGCTTAGACAATTACAGACACCCTGCCAGACATCCCCTGGCATTCTACCACGCCTCCACTTGTCAGGGGGCGCGATGGTGGAACTCCACATGGCCGCGGTCGTGGAATTCGGGTCCGCTGTTATGATTACGTGGGATCGTGGTTGAGTGAGCGTGGACCCAAAGCAACTGGTAAGGGATCGCAGTCTGGGGCAGCGGAATCATTTGCGATGGGTCGTGGCCGTTAGAGCGAGGATCCGATGTGATTTGCAAGGGGGTGGTGGCCCTGGGAGCGTGGACCCAATGTAATTTAAGAGAGGTCGAGGCCGTGGGAGCGCGGATCGTGTTGCACTGCAAAGAACAACAGGTAAACCTTCGGACGGTTGATCTTTTATTGCGTACCCCTGGAGGGGGCGATCGGCGAGTTCTACATTGCAGCAACAACAAAAACGATGCCACTGCAGCGTGACTGATGCGTGTGCGGGCTCGTACCTTCTCGGTGATCTCATTGAGATTGCAGTCGCCATTCGGCTGACTGATGGTCACACTGGAGGCCATCCCCGCTGATTCGCCGCGCTATGCCCTTGTCTCCTATCGCCGACGACGCAGCGGCTGACTGGCCTGCCGCCGGCCGAAGCTAAGAGCATGTTGTGCGAGGGTGGTCCGCCCCTCTTCCTCCTCCTGCTCCTCCTCATCCTCCTCCTCCTCTTCCTCCCCCTCCTCATCCTCCTCCTCTCCATCCTCCTCCTCCTCCTCCTCCTCTTCTCCACATCCCTCCCCTCCTCCTCCTCCTCCTCCTCCTCTCCTCCCTCCTCCTCCTCCTCCTCCTCCTCCTCCTCCTCCTCCTCTTCCTCTTCCTCTTTCTCTTTCTCTTTCTCCTCCTCCTCCTCCTCCTTCTCCTCCTCATCCTCCTCCTCCCCTTCTCCTCCTCCTCATCCTCCTCCTCCTCGGCCTCCTCCTCCTCTCCTCCTTGCTCCTGCTCCTGCTCCTCCTCCTCCTCCTCCTCCTCCTCCTCCTCCTCCTCCTCCTTCTCTCTCCTCCTCCTCCTCCTCCTCCTCCTCCTCCTTCCCCTCCTCCCCCTTCTTCTCCTTCTCCTCCTCCTCCTCCTTCTCCTCCTCCGTTCTCCCCATTCCCTCCTCCGAGAGATCGGTGTTTCTTTTCCTCCAGGGCCTCCTGAATCCCAAGAAGACTCCAGTGTGGCCAGCACTTTGGTGACTGGGCCCTGGGGCATGGGGCCCAGGGTCGAGGACTCGTCTACAGTCCACGCGCCTAGTAAGGACGCGCGCCTTCATCCGGGGTGCTCTTGTGTCCCTGCCTCTGCGGCCCGTCCACTGCCGTGCTCCTTGGTCGCCCGCCTCTCAACAAAAATCCCAGCCTCGGCCTCTAGGGGTCTTGCGTCCTTGCCACCCGTCGATACAGTGGAGATCCATGCCAAGAAACAACCTGCTTGCCTCCAGGGTGCCCCGGGTTTCTTTGGCGTCGGTGGTTTTGGTGTGGAGAGCGCGACGCTCCCACACGAAGAATCGATGGACGTCCTGGGGTCTCAGGGTTGGGTTTCTTGTGGAAGCTTTCTTGTGGTAGGTTTCTTAGGGTCGTCCTTACTGCACATTGTGACTGTCGAAATCTTCTCCTCTCGCCTCTCCCAGCGTTCTGCTTCTCCCGGCGGTCTGCTCTCTGCCCCGACGGGGCGCCCGACGGGGCTCCGGCAGCGTGTGAGAGCGGGGTCCCTCTGATCCTCCTCCCTCCTCCCTCCTCCCTCCTCCCTCCTCCCTCCTCCCTCCTCCCTCCTGCTGTGCGTCCGGGGCCCTCCGCAGGGAGCCCCGCGCCAGAGGCGGGCCGCCCCAAGCCATCGAGCACAGGAGAGCCCCCAAGCCTAATGGCACGATGAAGACGTGGCCTCCCTTAGGTCACTGCTGTTGCTGCTGCTTTTCGGGTTCCCCTGGCATTCCACACCCGCCAGGGATTGGGGATGCGTCGGCCTGCCGCCGCCCTCTCCCTTGTCATCGGTCCTGACGAGGTCGTGGGAGAGGGTGCCGAAACGCACCCGGAGCGCTGCAAGGCCCGAGGGTGCTAACGCGACCTGTCTGGCAGTTGCTCCGGGGGGGCCCGTGCTCAGGGAGGCTGCGGCACCGCTCCACGATGCGCCGTTAACCGATCCTGCAGGGCGGGCCTTTCCTCACTTCCGGTGATTCGTGCACCGAGACGCCCGAGTCGTTTGTGGCTCTTGTGCGGCTATTGCTTTGCCTTACTTTGCCTTAGGGATAATTCTGATGGGCGGTTTGGTCTGATGCACCTGCAGAAAAATCCCCCTGATCCATATTGTTTTTGGCCCTCCTAACGGAGGTCCCCTCCCAAAGGGTTGGGGGTACTTGCATTGCTTATCACCAAAGGTCGGGGCCGTGGACGCGCTCATGGCTCTGGCGGCGCTGGGTGCCTTCGTCAACATGGTCTGGGGGTCCGCGGCGCACCTGCTCATGGTGTCGAAAGACAGCCAGGCCACCGGAGAAGAAGGCCATACGGTCGGAGCGAGGCGTAAGAACGTGCGGCTTGAGTTTCGGTTTCTTGGATCCCAGAGGTCCGACGCTCCCAAACAGTTGGGACGGCGGGACTTTGGTTTTTGTTCGGCCTCCGTGGGCCCTCGCTGGGCCTCGGGACCGTCGACAAAACGATGTGTGACGAAAAGCCGGTTCCAGTTGAAATGGCCCAGATTTCTGGGGCCCGCGCACCAAATACATTGGGGCGGCCGGATGTCTGGGACAGGCCAGGCAGGTAAGGTCGGGTGACTCCTCGGGATGGGCCCCCCGGTGGCTTCGGGGTTGTGTCGCCCACGGAGGGGTTCGTGCTCTTGAAGTGTGTTCTTCTGGCCTTGTTTCGACCGTGCCGATACCGCTCCCGATGCAATTTGTTTGCGTATGTTCGGGCCTCCCGGGGGAGGGGCACACGAGTCGCTTTGCGGTTGGATTCGGCTCGGACTGGGCCTTGGTCCGAAAGCGCCCTGGGAGACGTCCAGGGAGTGGCGGTGTCGGCTTCCTTTCTGTGATCCCAGGTCATGGAAGCGATCGTTCCAACCTCTCACCGCCGCTTCGCGTGATGGTCACTCTGAAGGAAAGAGTTCCCGAGGGGAACGGGTTCTGCCATGTTTCAACCGACCTTGGCCACTCGATGCCCTTCCTGGGTCCCGGGGGCCGCCACAGCACAACTTGGAGCGAAACACGGACCTCGGAGGGAAGTCTTGGGTTCCAAGGCCCGTTCCCCTCGGGGCCCTTTTTTTCACGGTCGGCGATGGCGGCTGACTGCATGCGTGAGTGTTGCGTCGGAAAAGGTGTGCCCACGTTGACAGCGCAGCCTGGCCCGTTCGCTCTCCCATGGGTGGTCAAGCAGTTGCTCTCGTCCAGGGGCCATGTAGCCTTGTCGCAAGTCCCTAGAATCATCGATTTCATGCTTGATGATGCTGCGTCCGTTGTTACACCATGGATCATCAGGGGCACGGAATGGCTGGTCTGGCATGGGATGGGACCATTGCTCGAGGACGCTACGCCCCTTCTTTACACCGTGATGGATGATCATGAGGTCATCCGGGGCATGTGATGGGCGATGTTGTGGTGCCTTGATCTGGCTGTTACGCCCTGGTGCAGAGCGAGCGCGTCGTGAACGAGAACAGACAATCGGGGGCATGAGGTACGTGCCTGCATGTGTGTGTGCCCCTTGATCAGGCATCAGTGTGCATGATAACGTTGACTCTGTCATGCTCGTCGTCATGGTGAACGCGATGCTGGTCTGTTCCCATTCCACTGTTTCCGACGAGCGTCCTTTATTGCTGTCTCGGTCCAGGCAGGTTCAGCGATCACGCTGAGGCACATTTCTGTGCCAGCACAAAGAAATAGCAAGGTCCGCCCAGGCTTTCCAGCTCCATGATGGCGCTGCCGCTGAGCCTGGTTTTCGTTTACGTGCTCCTGTTCTCTGGCACCGAGGCCATGTTGAACAAAGACTACGCGAGGATCGCGGGATCCTTTCTTCTGCCCCCTCCCATTTCAGGAGGGATGAGAAGGAGGAGACGAATGAAGAACGGGGGGAGGCAAGAGGAGACAACTGAGGAGGAGGAGGAGGAAGAGGATGAGAAGACGACCGACGTCGTCCTCTGCCTCAGGAGGTTGCTGGAGGTCCCCAGAGGCTTCCGCCAGGGCCTCTGGTGGCCAGGATCCCGAAACGGTGAATTGCCAAAGAACGCGCGCAGAAAGGCATGGCGGCGGGGACGAGGAAGCGGCGGCGGCGGCGGCGGCGACGACGACGACGACGACCACGACGACGACCACGACGACGACCACGACCACGACCACGACCACGACCACGGCCACAACGACGACGACGACGACGACGATGGCGACGGCGACGGCGACAATGATGACGGAGAAGGGCCGGCGGCAGCAGCGTCGACGACGGGGCCGCCATTCCCCTCACTCCCCTGTGCGCGCCGCGGACTGGCCCTCATCGCCCTCCTCCTCCTCCTCTGGTTGTCCTCGTTCTCTTTCCACCTCTTCCCTCCTCCCTCATCCTCATCCTCCTTCTCCTCCTTCTCCTCCTCCTCCTCCTCCCACATCTTTCTCCTCCACCTCCCGCCTCGTCCTCCTCCGTCTCCATCCTCCTCTTCCTCCTCCTCCTCCTCCTCCTCCTCCTCCTCCTCCTCCCCCTCCCCTCCTCCTTCCTCCTCTCCTCCCTCCCTCCTCCTCCTCGTCATCATCATCATCAGCATCATCATCATCATCATCATCATCATCATCATCATCATCATCATCATCATCATCCCTCATCCCTCATCCCTCATCCCTCATCCCTCATCCCTCATCCCTCATCCCTCATCCCTCTTTCTCCTCCTCCTCCTCCCTCCGCCTCCTCCTCTTGCCTCGTGGCCGGTGGTTCCAGAGTCTGTTTGGGCCGGGCGCAGCCTTCTCGCCCCCCGGCGGCGTTCTGCCACTGTGGTGCGAGGCAGGGAACGGCGGAAGATGAGGTGCGGGCCTCCCACAGGGGGATGGGAAACGAATTGAACTTGTGGGGCTCGGAACGATGTTTGGATTATTGTTTGCCATTGTTGAGCATTTTCGGATTTGCTTCCCGATCTCATCCAGAATCCGCCTGCAGGAGCACGGGCCCGACGCGAGGCTCGGCCCACCTCGCCGCCGCCCGCGCGATCGGTCCCCTCAGACTGGGGCCTGCCGCTCGGCGGCCGCGGCGGCGCCGGCGGCGGGCGCCCGGCCGCGCGTGCTTCGCGCGCGCCCTCGACGGCCGCGGGGCGCGCGGCCTCGACGGGGGCGGGCGCCTCCGCACTCGGCGGGGCGCGGAGCCCTTCCCGCCTCAGCTGAAACAGCACAGAGGAGTCAGGGGATGTTTTTTATTAGGCATATCATGTTTTCATGTTTTTGAGCATTTTGTGGCTCTTATTTTATCCGTCGCCCAACATCCGCCTGACGGAGGACATCGCCGACCTAAGCCTCTGCGCGGGGCGGCGGCGGCGGCGGGGGATGTGGTTGGGGCCACCTCGAGGCGGGGAGCCCCCTGAAGAGCTGTCCCAGGAGGGCGGGGCGGAGCAGCGCTGGGGCGGGGCACGGTGCGGGGGCGCTGCCTGAGAGGTGGTGGGGATCGCCGCTCTCGACGTGGTGCAGTTGCGCTCTCCTCCTCCTCCTCGTCTTCTTCCTTCTCCTCCTCCTCATCCCCCTCCTCCTCCTTTTCCTCCTCCTCCTCCTCCTCCTCAAAGCTTAAAGCTTAAAGCTAAAGGCAGGTTCGATCTTTGGCTGACCCGATGCCTGTCCTGATCCTCCGTGCGGAATGGTGGCTTTTGAACATTTTTTTTACAGCCGAAGGCGGGGGGGGCTACCCTGTGAAGCGAGGGAAACCGACGGAAGGGGACGACCCGGGATGGCAAACAGCAGAGGATGAGAATCGGGAGAAGCGAGGAGAAGCGGGAGGGCACCAGGCACGACGAAGAGGAGCTGGCAAGGGTAAGGTGAGGGCCGCCGACATAGCCGACGCACCCTGAAGGACCCCCGAAGGGGTTCACTAGGGAAGTTTCGGCAGCATCGCCGGCCCTGTGGTCAGGGTCAGCCCCTCCTCTTCCTCCTCCTCCTCCTCCTCCTCCCCCTCCTCCATCCCTTCTCCTTTCAAGTAACTTTCCCCTGTCGCGACCCGAGACGCGTCGGTTGGACGGGCCGGGCGTTTTGCTTCAGACTTCCCCGCCACTATGATCCTTAAGCTGAGAATGTGCAACAGCTTCACGGATGGAGGGAGGGTGGTTTTCAACATGTTGCTCTCGCCATAACGCCGCCCATGGTTGTCTCCAAGTTTGAAATAGTCCCACGGATGGAGGGCGAGCCGTTTTCAAGATGTGGTTCTCGGCTCAGCGCCGCGCACACCCGTTCGTCAAAGTGTGTGCAGTCGTTTCACGGACGGAGGGCGGGCCGTTTCCAAAATGCGGTCCTCGCCCAAGCGCTTCGCGCATGCGTTTTCAAAGTTTGCAGGATCTTCGCGGATAAATGGAGAGGGGGGTTTCTTTTTCAAAATGTGGCTCTCGCCTGAGCGCGCGCGCAGTCGTTGTTTCCATTTCCTGCAGACCCAAGCACTTTTTTATAGTTGATGCCCCAAAAATGGTGTAATGACACGAAATATGACTGTCAGGACGGAGTCGTTGCGTTTCTTCGCGGTGTTGAAGTCCCAGGAAATGTGCTCTAGCACGGTTCAGGATTGTCAGGACGCAACAGTAATCCCACCAGCCCTTTAGGGCGTAGGTGGTTTAGGGAGTTTCCTCTGCCAACCCCCTTCTTCCCCTTCGGGGAGGGGTTTACCCCTCCCCTTACCCCTCCCCACTGACCTGGACGGGGCGTTCCGCGGGTCGTTGGGACGGCCAAGATGGCCCAAGACATCTCCAAGAGCGAAAAGGCGAGAAACACACAAAACATTGATTTTACCTAGGTTTTGGAAGGATTTTGGCCTCTCGGGGGGGCCCAAGAGGCGACTCGAGGCACTCTAGAGGGGCAACGCTAATATACGACCCCCCCTTTTTTGATAGATCTCCTCCAAGATGGCCCCAAGAGCGCCCCGAAGGCTCCCAAGAGCGCCCCAAGAGCGCCCCAAGACGGCCCCACGAGGCCCCAAGAGGCCCCCAAGAAGCCTCCAAGAGGCTGCCAAGAGACCCCCAAGAGGCCCCAAGAGCCTCCCAAGATGGCCCAAGACGGCTCCAAGAGCGAAAAGGCGAGAAAGCAAAAAACATTGATTTTACATAGGTTTTGGAACGATTTTGGCCTCTTGGGGGGCCCAAGAGGCGACTCGAGGCACTCTAGAGGGGCAACGCTAATTGGGGACCCCCTCTTCTTTGATCGATCTCCTCCAAGATGGCCCCAAGAGCGCCCCGAAGGCTCCCAAGAGCGCCCCAAGAGCGCCCCAAGAGCGCCCCAAGAGGCCCCAAGAGGCGCCCAAGAGGCCTCCACAAGGCTCCCAAGAGACCCCCAAGAGGCCCAAGAGGCTCCCAAGACGGCCCAAGACGGCTCCAAGAGCGAAAAGGCGAGAAAACACAAAACATTGATTTTATTCAGGTTTTGGAAAGATTTTGGCCTCAAGAAGGGCCCAAGAAGCGATTCGAGGCACTCTAGAGGGGCAGCGCTAATTGGGGACCCCCCCTTCTTTGATAGATCTCCTCCAAGATGGCCCCAAGAGCGCCTCGAAGGCTCCCAAGAGCGCCCCAAGAGAGAAGAGGCCCCAAGAGGCCCCAAGAGGCCCCCAAGAGGCCTCCAAGAGGCCCCCAAGAGACCCCCAAGAGGCCACAAGAGGCTCCCCGAGATACGCAAGAGGCCCCCGGGACCGCCAAGAGGCCCCAAAGAGGGCCCAAGAGGCCCCCAAGCTCGCCATTGTCCTCCTCCTCCTCTTCTTTTTCTTCCTCCTCCCTCCTCCCCCTCCCCCTCCTCCTCCTCCTCCTCCTCCTCCTCCTCCTCCTCCTCTCCTTTTCCTCCTTCTCGTCCTCGCAGTTCTCCATATCCTCCTCCTTATCTTCCTCCTCCTCCTCCTCCTGCTCCTCCTCCTGCTCCTCCTCCTGCTCCTCCTCTTCCTCCTCCTACTCCTACGACGACGGCTCCTCCTACATCCTCCCCCTCT